GCGGACGGCGTGCCGGAGATTACTGAACAGATTTATGGAAAAGGGTTTGATGCACATCCTAGCATTCAGGCGATTTTTAATAACAATGAGCAGATCGCTGCGAGAAACAATTTTACTTTTCAATATACTAATAAAACCCAAGTGGAAGCTTTGTTACTCAAAATCAACTCCCGTAAATCCTGTGGTTATGACGGAATACCACCGCGACTGTTAAAAGAGTCTGCCAACGCGATTGCTGGTCCTATAGCTGCAATAATGAATCACTCGATTAGGACAGGACAGTATCCGTCGCGCTTGAAATTAGGTCAAGTTACTCCTTTATTTAAAAAGGACGATGAACTAAACAAAAACAATTATCGACCAGTGACCGTATTACCTGCGCTCAATAACGTTTTTGAGAGGCTACTTTCAGCTCAAATGGGCGACTTTTACCAGAACATATTGTCTGAATACATATCTGCCTACAGGAGGCACCATAGCTGTGAGACATCTTTACTTAGGCTCACTGAGGACTGGAGGCGCAGTCTAGACAATAAAGAGATCGTGGCGGTTATATCAATGGATTTGTCAAAGGCTTTCGACACCATACCTCATGCTTTGCTATTAGCAAAACTGAAAGCGTATGGCTTGCACGAATCCAGCTGCGCCCTTATCGGTGACTACTTGACGGATAGAAGGCAGCGAGTGAAAATTGGTGATACTTATTCGGATTGGATGAGTGTGAAGCGGGGCGTGCCTCAAGGCAGCGTCCTGGGGCCCATGTTTTTCAACATGTTCCTCAACGACCTCATCTTTCACATTAAGTCTGTAAAATTAAACACTTATGCCGATGACTGCCAACTGCACTCATCTGATGTAGACCCAGTGGCCTTGGAACGGCGGATCAATCATGATGTACAAATAGCAAATAAATGGTTCGAAGACAATGGGATGAAAGCAAACCCTGCTAAACATCAAGGGATGGTTCTTGGCAAAACCGATTACCCTTTCTCCTTTTTAACCACAAGATGCCTGGATCTTTTTGGAATATCTCTAGACAATGAACTTAATTTCAAGGATCACATATCCTCTGTATGCAAAAAAATAAATAATCAGTTCAGTGTCTTCAAAAGATTTGGCAAACTTATCTCATCCGAAATTATGCTTCGCCTTTATAAAGCGTTTATCTTACCCCATTTTCACTACTGTTCAATGATATGGCACTTTTGTAATTCAGAAGATTCTGTCAAACTGGACACCTTAAACAGACGTATTTTAAGATTTGTTTAAAGGACTGGGACTCGAACTATGATGCTCTTCTAGACAAGGCTGGTGTGTGTGGTTTAGCCAACAGGAGGATACAAAATATGATGATTTGTATATTCAAATGTCTCCATTTTGGTAAATATCCGTGCTATTTAAAACAACTGATCAAGTTAAGATCTACTGCTTACTCCCTACGGGGTACTAATATTTTATCACTTCCTAAGCCGTCTACAACCACATATGGTCTAAATTCCTTTAGCTATTCATCTGTTAAGTACTGGAATTCTCTACCTAATCACTTTAGAAAGACTGTAGATTATAGAGAATTTAAGCGCAAATTGTTAGTGCACAGTTTTAGTTAATACTACATTAATTAATATTATATTATATATGTTGTAACTTTTAAAATTAGTTAGGATCGGAGATACTAGCTATGTAAGCTACACTAAAATCCGAGGATAAATAAAGTTTATGTATGTATGTATGTATGTATGTATGTATGTATGTATGTATGTATGTATGTATGTGAATACTTAAATGGTTAAAACTTCTAGTTAGTAGTTTACCGGAAAATAAACGTACATGCTGGCTTTACGATTAACTCTGCTGGGCCTCGTGTAGCCTCCCACGCAGGCGTTTTTAGGGGAGCTCGTTTTTCTTCCCTCGAAATACGAGCTCCTCTAAAAACGCCTGCGTGGGAGGCTAGGCCTCGTGCGGCGCCGTAAATGATCTAATTGACTTGTCTAATAAAAGCCTTCTCCACAATGTTAAGTTTCTATTAGATGCCCCACTCTAATAAACGACCCCTGTCAAATAGACGCCGCCCCTGCAATTACTCCACAATACTAGGAAATGGCAAAAACGACGCCAGCTGACATCCGATGTATAATCCAGTGAAGCCATTTTATTATAAACCGTTTGGTTATCTCTTCAACAAACATTTTGAGACCGAATCCATCAGGAAATTGAGTGATTTTAATTTTCAGAGGACAAAAATCTTGTGCCAGAATAATTTAAAGCATATAGCATTCTTTTTTTACATTTTTCAAGGGCTATAGATGTAATTAGTTATGTGTAATAACACCAAAGGAAATTTCTTATGGGGGCCTGAGAAAATTAATGTCAAACTTAACAAAATGACTGCTTGCATTTGAAATTTTCAGGATTTTACCTATGTTTTCACAATTCTTGGGAAATTTGACGCTCGTGATATTTCAAAATTGTCTCAAATTTCACTCGCCCAACGGCGTGTGAAATTACGTATAACAATTTTGAAATATCACTCGTGGTATTTATGCCAGATATCACTACAAATCATGGTACAAGGTTTTTGTCCACTGAAAATTAAAATTACTCAATTCCCTAGTGGATTCCGTCGTAAGGTCAGAACTCAGAACGTTATAAAGATCTGACGACATACTGAATATCATGCCGAACGTTGCACTGCCTTTAAATAAACAGAGGTAATTCGACCGAAATTTGTTGCAACAGGGCCGGCTGGTTTCTTTGACAAATCATAAAAGGTTGGGGGCTGACAGAAAGAGAACAAACATTATAACAGATTGTTCCCCTATCCTGTCATTCTTAAAAATGGAAACGTCGACTTGAAGAGCCCCCAGTAGGAGGGCGGATGGCGAGTTTGCGCCCGTCAAAGAAACTTACGATAAATTTAACAGGGGCACCCAACGATGGTTTCCTCCCAAATACATTGAAAACACTTTTAAGGCTATCCAGAGTATTTTAAGCTATCTAGAAATGCATTCTAAGCGGAGCTACAAAAATTGTATCTGTTCGGTCATCCTTGGCGAACTTGAGTCTTTTCGAAATTACCACGGCTGGAGAGTTATTTTTCTGATAATATCATAGGTGACGAATTACTCCTTAATTTTGGCGCGAAATTTCAGCGTTAATTTGTAATTTCACATGTGAAATTACAAAATCGCCATGGCAACCCTTCTGTACGTCTTGGTGTCAAGATGGCGACGAAGTTTTAAAATGCCGTGAATGAAGATGTCAGGGTACAAAAAGACGCTTTAGAACACACAACAGAACACCAAGAAGGATTCTAACAGGTGTTTTGCCGAAAAGTCTGAAAAATTCTGAACTTTATAAGCCAGATTTAAGGTCTAAACATTTGAGAGAGTGGAGTTCTCGATCGATATGATCTAGGATAAACATGTCAAAAATCCAAGATTGCTAACGTAATTCGTCACCCATGATATTAATAGGTAATCAGATGGTATACTCGTGAAATTAGGGAATAATTTCACTTGCGTTTTGTCCAAATTTCATTACACATACAAATTTGACGTATAACGAAAGTGAGAGATTTTCTGATTCTTAGCGCCATCACAATTTTGAATGCGAAAATTTTTAGGTTCCCTTTTTTATCTACAAAAAATAGCCTAACTTGGGAAGTAAAATGTGAAAATTAAGCTTCAGAAATCGTAGGGAATTTATACCAAATGCTTCGATAACTGTACATGAATGGAACGGTCATCTAGTAATTTTTAGCCGTTCTAATTCTAGGCAATGTTTGCTTCTCCGAACAGATATTTCACAGAAATAGTCACTGGGTTCCCCTGATTAAAGTGTCTTTACACGATAGCTGTGACAGAGGTTGTCACACGCCAATCAAGATAAAGTTAGTAATTAATGCTAAATGCTACCCAAGAAAGCGGAAACCTTAAATGAGAACTTCTTGTAGACACGTAAAAGCCCAGGGAAAAACATGTTGGGTCGCTAGAAGCTAAAACTGCGGCCGGTATAATATGATTAATTTTCTAGTTTTCTGGTCCATCGCTGCTACAATTTTTGCAGCCGAAGAAAATTTTCGATCATCTTATTTAATAACCAGGGAAAATAAGCGGTTGGAAGGACATGCAGTCAAGAAAGTCGACTCAACTAGTTTCATGTTATGCAGTCAATCATGTTTAAGGCACTCCTGGTGTACCTCTACTAACTTCATCGAGTCCTTTGGGAAGAGCGGTACTGAAGGCAATTGTGAACTGCAAACGCACGAGTTCTTCTCAATAAACGATGACACCAAGCTTATTGATCAACCTGGCGCCACGTTTTCAATGTTTCTTAAGGTAAGACAACTAGCATCATTTGCTTAAATAATAAGTAAAAACTCCATGAACTCCGTTAAAAATTAATACAGCTCTCTTGTGTATAATTAAGTAGAATGTAAGACCTAGATTTGTTAGTTTTGTTTAGCGATGCGTCTGTGAATGAGCTCAACTCAAAGGACCAGATTTCCTACAAGAGTCAACTGAATGAGTTTTTTTTCTCTAATTTATTCTTAAATTGCTGCGATAAGAAATATCATCATATCCACGTCGCCTTGACTCCAATAGGAGTACGTGTTGCACCTGTTTAAATTGTAAGAAATGTGGCTTAGACGCACAAGAAATAAATTTAAGACGAGTGCAATGCAATTGAAACTTAGAGTAAAAAGGGAAACAGCTGACAGCTTATCTAAATTAAAAAAAGACAACTGCGTAATTTAAGTCTAAGTTGTAGGCGTAAAATACTTCCTACTTCAGGGTCTCAGCTTGTGAGGATGGGCGGAAAGGAAAGCGACCGCGGAAAAAGAATGAAAGGAAGACTGCCGAAAACGACTTTGAACTTGCCTATTTCGTCTTATCGCTATCGAGGCTTATTGCTTTCTGGAGCTGTAATGCTAACTGCATACCACCTGCAGGCAATTTGAGACTCCCAAATCAAGCGCGCTTATCACGCAAGCCGTCTCATCAACGACGTTTATAAAGGGTCACTGTTTATACTAAGAGTGTTGACCCTTTCAGTCAAAACGGACCAATCAGGCGGTAATCCAGGCGCTGTCCCTGGTTTACAAAAACAAGAGCTCTCTTTCACCGCGGCAAAACCATAGAAATTTGCTAAAGTTAGGCAAAGCACTTCAAAGCTAAGCTTAAGACGTTCTCTGTTCAAAGTTTGACACGTTAATTTATAAAAGGTTTTGGAAGGTTTTACTAATTAAAAAAGGTTTTAAGTGTTCGAAAACTGTCAACAACATTTTTTTACTATGGCGCGAAGATAAAAACGATACAAAGCCAGGAGCAAGTAACCCTGAAAAAGCCCGTTATTTTAAGCCAAAGGAAACGAATGGACACAGGGTCCAGAGGAGTTTCGTGTGAAAAATGTCTATGCCTGTCGCTTAGCACGATCAATTAGCCCAATGGGATCTTAATGAATCAACTGTAAACGATTTCTTCGCTTCTTATCTGACCCAGATCGACTTCGTTGTTCACCATTTTGAAAATCAATAACCGCAAGCCATATCCTCGCTGGGGCAAGGAACGTCGCCCGATTGGTTTGCGGTCAATAGAATGAGTAACGAAACTGTAACGCGATCAAAATAACCCATTTTTTCAGAGGTTTTCGACGGGTTTTCATGTCTAACGACAAACACATCTCCTCTGGACCCTGTGGAGTGGACAGGCCCTCGCGCCGCCCTGTCCCCCGCCAGTCTTCGCCAGCTTCATTTTCTTGCTTTTTTTTTCGCTCGTCCCGACAAATGTTTAAGCGTACACGGGCCAAAAAAAACGAAAAGGTTAGGGGTATCGAGAATGGAAAAAAACATATCAGGGATTTATGGTAACACGTCAGTGTTACATTTTCTTCAGGGCTGCCTACTGACAGGATGCCTTAATGGCGGTTCTTGCGTCTTCAACGAAGAAAAAGAGACGTTTGCTTGCGCATGTAAAGTGCCATGGAGTGGAGAAAAATGCGAACTGGGTAAGACTGTAGTTCTTCTTCTTAATTTTCTGTTATGAACAAAAGAAAATCTGATTCCCGGAGATTTTACGACAGTTTGAAGAGTTTAAAACTTACAAAATTTACAAGTTTTGCATGGAAAACCACTCAGCCCTGATCGAGTGGCAAGAGTTATTTTCCCATACAAATCCTTCTTATTTTAGGCGGCCGATGCAATCGCTACTTTCGAGCAGTTCCTGGTAAAATCCTTTTTTCCAAAAGAATTGTTTTCATGTTTACAGAAACAGACTGTGGAAATTTCTTTCAGATAACTGGAAGAAGATCAACATTGCCCCAGTCTGCTTTGGAGCACGTAATGACTCGTATGGAACCTTCCACATCACAGAGAGTGGCCTCATCAATACGTTTAAACTGGTTCATATCAACGGGTCAGTTTTATGTTCAGAAGATGTTCTACCGTCCTATTGGGGATGCAACCATACAAATTACGGGAACACGACACTGCTTACCGTAATAACGTTCCAGAACAGGACAGCCCTTTGGCTCGCGGATTACAAAACGAGCGGGCCGCGTAAATGTCAATACTCATACGGGATCAAAGGGACAGGTGTAAACGCGACCGAACTCGTGTTTAACGAGCTTCCATCTCCAATATCCGCGTTTGTTGGACAGGAGTTTCAAATTTGGTTTGGACAGGACCTTGCGAATTGTACAGAGGACAATAACAGCGGTCAGACTTGTGTTGATGTTTATGCATTGTACGCGTCTACACGCTAAACCATGCTTCTCGGCTTTTCTTAAATAATAGTTATATGTAGTTTGTATAGTTTTCTTTATTTAACTTTTATATCATTATTCTATATATTAATATATCTGTATTTATTCATTTACTTATTTTATTTATTTATTTATTGCTTGCTTTTATTTTCAGTGTGATAATTTCAGATTTATGTATTATTTATTTTTTTTATCTATTTTTTTTTTAATTTCCTTATTTTACTTTTATATCAGGCGAACAGCCATACCATGGATGTACTGATATTAAACCGTTATTATTATTATTATTATTATTATTATCATTATTATTATTATTATTATTATTATTATTATTATTATTATTATCTTAATGATTTTACCGACCCAATACAGGTAAATGTAAATGTAAAGGTAAATGTAGTTACTGTTGCCATTAGTATCCGTCAAAGTCGTTTTTTGTGTCCTCACGCAACGCTTCTTCCCACAAAACAGCTGCTGGTTGTGGCGAGGAAAATTGCGTGACGATAGAAAGTAACGGTAGACTATTTTGCTACTCAATGGGTTCCATACAACACGGAGCGACTTAAAATCCAAGACGTTTTGGAAGCGGATTTGTACAATTTAAAACGCAATTGAGATAAAATGAAACCTTTCAAACGCACGTCTCAGCCATCACAACAACTCAGATTTATTGAATGAATAAGTAACGATTGAGCACTAACACGGCCAAAAAATGGTTCTCCGTCTACCACTCCGGATGGAATTTAAATTAAAGAAAAGGGCTGCATGGTTTATAAAATGGAGCGGAAAACCCGAGTGCTAGAAGAGAAAACCCCCTTGGAGCAACGAAGAGCGCCAGAACAAACTTAACTGACCCACAATTGGCATCGATGCCCGGATTGGTACCCAGGCCACGCTGCTACAGGCCAGTGCTCTCCGGCAGCAGAGCGTCATTTCTGCTCCCCGTATTTTGATTGGTTGCGTAATGTGGAACACAAAGTTAAACACAATATTTTATAGAAAAAATGTCCAAAATTGTCCAAAACTTAATCGATTCCAAGGGTATCGGATTTTCACAGTAAGTCTGGCGATTACTTTGGGATCTGAAAGACTAGGCAACGGGCAGCAACACCCTTGTTGCTGCTTTATGACACAGAAACTCAACTATGCCGCGGTGCATGGATGATTTTCGCTAAATTCTAAATAATACCTTCAGGTCTTGAAGCAGGTGAAGTGAATCTAGCAACTTCCAAGAAAACAAGAGCATCACGGACAGACACTGGTCTGTCATCATCTTGAGTCGGCTCATCATCCTCTGGGCGCCGTAAATCAACAATCAGTTTACTGCCTTTCTTTTCAATGACCTAAAAAGATATCACTGCGTTTTGTTATATTCCAAGACTCTCACATAACTAAAAAGGGACTGCCATTGGCCGATTCTTGGTTACGTGGCCTTGACTAAAATCAAATGTATCCCGATCGTGATATATTAAGCAATGTACCACGCTCGAGCTACATTACAGCACATGATCAAAGAATAGTGGAAAGTGGTGTGACAAAAGGCGGGAAAAACACTGACAGGTCCTGCCGGCCAGTTTTCTTTTTCGTAAATGAATACAACAACTCAAACACGAAGCCTCAAGCTAAAAAGCAACGAGATTTAAAGTTATCCAAGAAGTTCCAAGAAGAAAAACAGCAGCTAAAGGAGGAAAATGATGCAGATAATACAAGGAAGGTACTTTGTAAATCATTCATTCAGTGGTTTTGAGAATATAAATTTGTGTTGTTATAAGTACCGAGTCGACTGTTTTGGTTCGCTCAGGGTTATTCTTTTGTTACTGTTGAAGTGAAAGTCTAGAAATATAACAAAACACTTGATGTCAGGTCCCTTGGGAAGCCAGTTAGTTTTGTTTTCCCTCGAGTCCTGATGTCTGATTCTCGGGAAAACAAAACCAACTGTTTCCCTCGGGATCTGACATTAAGTGTATAATAATTCACGTTTCAGTAACGTTATTACAAGAGTAACCCCGAAACCAAAAACGGCAGAGTTTTAAAACGGATACTGAAATTATTGATGAAAATTTGAGGCAAACCAAATCTCGGTAGTTTGTTGAGGCCTCCTCGCCTAAAGACGAGAAGCTTTAAATACCTTGCTAATATTTAAGGCAAATACTTTTGAAGTATTTTAGGTTTCCGCAAGTAACCATTTAAATCAAAAAGCACCAATAGTATTCAAACTCACTGTCATCAAAAGAGGTTTATCTCCTGTCAAACTTCCAAAGGCCTTGGTTGCTTTTGGTGGCCACTTCTCCTCCTGTAAAAAAAAGGGCGAGGTTGACCTCTTACTTTGTAATTATATTAACTTATTTCTCTATTGTATAATATGGTAGCAATTTTTTACTTTTTATTTAACATATTTTAAACAGAAAATTTTTGTTATTTTTCAATCATCAATTATTGCACTTTAAAAGGATCTTGGACCCCTTTGCATTTCGTCCTTTGGCTTAGTGGAAGGTTTGTTTTGCAGCATCTGTGCCATAAAATCTAATAGATAAATAACAAAATTAAAAAACTTCACCTTTACATATGGTGGTCAATCAAGCATAGAGGTCTTGAGAAAAACGGACGTAAAATGCTTTGATTACAAGACAAATTCTCCTCTCCAGAATCACAGGAAACGTATGAACAACAGGGCGGAGGATATGCACATTGGCACTCGGGTTTAAGGGGCTAACGTTTGAGACAAACTGTTTCCTGTAAAATGCAGGAAGTCTGTTCCCTAAAGGATTCTCCTGGTGAATAGACGCCAATGGTGAGGTAACTGTTTAACTGTTCCCACTAACATTAGTTATCTTTTCACTAAAGCTAAAAGCATGAACACGACACCAGGTTCTCTTCCTCCGGCAATTTTTATCGAGACTGAATCAAAACCAAGGTTCTTTTGCTTGGTTTGGAGCTAAGCTTTAAACTCGATATGCGATGAACTCTGTCATCTTCCCAACTGACCTTTTAAAATCCATATTAATAACACGTTGCCCTCGATATTAAAGGCCGAGGACGATTATGTTGAGGCGCCCATTCTGCTTCAGAAAATAGCAAACTATACAGTATGAAAAGTTTAATGCAGTTTTGCAGTTATATATACCTGTCACTGCTACAAGTGGTTGATTTTGTAAATGTTATTTATTCCCGTTTAAGCTTTATTTGTTTATTGTTAATTAACCATTCTGATTTATCACTGACTGCTGTACCCCTGTATCTCCGCCAGCCTCGGCTAGCACCTGCTATGTGCGGGCGGAAATGGACTTTACTTATGTCAATTGTTAATAAAAAAAAGCGGGTGTGTACAAACCTGAAAAGGAGGTACAATGTCTGCTAAGGAACAACACTGAGCAAGTTCAGGAATATTCAAAAATTCACTTTTCATCTTTCTAAGTCTGCAATAGGTAAAGAGGAAAAGTTGGCTATAGTTTTTAGAAATAACGGCAAGAGAGAAAATAAGTATTAATTTTGCTGGTATTGTTTTGATTGAAAATTATCTATTGAACAGGGCACCCAACATTTTAACACAAGCTGTCACTACTTGTGCGGTTTTTCCTTTGAATAGGTGAAATTACTATAAAGTGACTTCTTCTCCAGTGTCATATGCGTCTTCTTCATGCTTCCTTCACTCGGTGCAAGAGACTTTTAATGCGCAAAATACGGTTCCAGTCAAGTCTTTATACTGATCCCCAATTTTTTCTCACAGCTTCGGCCAGTGGCCCACACCAAAGCATCTCACTGCACTTCTGGAACCCAGGGTAAATACTTCCTCAATCCAATTGAAAAATGAAGTACAAAGTAAGAAATAAGAAGGGTATGGTTGAAACGATTGCTCTGGTAAGTACAATAGTGTAAAATATCCATCTCAGCAGGTCCTTGCATTGAGCAATCACTTTCTGCAGCAATTATTAGTACATAGTAAAACGGCAAAAGAGTACAACATACATCTGTGTGAATAATACAAACAAATCAACAAAAAAAGGAGAGAATTTAGAAAGACAAATAATTGGTGGCTGAGAAATACCTGCTTAGAGGAAGCCACTCACTGTTGCCATAATCAATGTATTGTACTTCAACACAAAGACCATTCTCCAGAGTTGGTACAACATTGGGACACGCTGGTGAATAAGCTGTTTTTATGCATGCTCTGTACCATTGATTGTCTGTAGTGAACTGTGCACAGCACATGTCACCTGAGAAAAGTGAGAATAATTTTTCTTTTTAGAAAGGATGTATGTCTAACCAGGATACCAGAAATTTTACAGGACATTTATCATGTTGCCTTTTAATAATTTTAAACCATTTGCACCTGAACTACCGTAGCCCCATGCGCGGATCCACCTCTCTTCAACGGTCTACCGCATGTGACAACATCAGTCTTAACAGTCAAGGACAAATTTGTCAGCTAATTTGTGCAGGGTAAAGTGATCTTTCAAACCATACCAGAATGAGTATGATTCAGTCAAAAAGGCCGGAAAATGAGAAAAAAAAAGTGAAGACTGCATAGTCACTTTTAAACCCAAAAAAGGAGAAAAAAGGTCGGAAATATGTCTAAAATAGTTGAAACACCCATGCACTTCCCTTTCCCTCAGCAATGCTGAGATGTGATTGCAAAGTTACGTGGCTACAACAACATTGCAAAAGGGGGGGAAAAAGGAAACGAGATTTTCTAAAGTGTTTCAAGGTTTTTGTCTGAGACTGCACTTATGTCCAGAAATGCATGCAATGGCGAAACTGGCGAAAAATCGCCAGCCGCTGGCGATTTGAATTGGATGCCAAAAGTGGCCCCTTGGAGGCTGGCGATTTTGGCAAAAATGGCGATTTTGGCGAAATTGGCGATTTTGGCAAAAATTGCCATGCATGCAATGGCGAAAATGGCGAAAAATCACCAGCCTCTGGCAATTTGAATTGGATGCCAAAAGTGGCCCCTTGGAGGCTGGCGATTTTGGCGAAAATGGCGATTTTGGCGAAATTGGCAATTTTGGCAAAAATCGCCATGCATGCAATGGTGAAAATGGTGAAACTGGCGAAAAATCACCAGCCTCTGGCGATTTGAATTGGATGCCAAAAGTGACCCCTTGGAGGCTGGCGATTTTGGCGAAATTGGCAATTTTGGAAAAAATCGCCATGCATGCAATGGCGAAAATGGCGAAACTGGCGAAAAATCACCAGCCTCTGGCGATTTGAATTGGATGCCAAAAGTGGCCCCTTGGAGGCTGGCGATTTTGGCGAAAATGGCGATTTTGGCGAAATTGGTAATTTTGGCAAAAATCGCTTGAGGGCTGGCGATATGTGGCAAAATATTCAAATTGGATGCCAAAAGTGGCCCCTTCAAAGTAGATAACTAAAGAGGTCCTTATAACTGTGAGGCAACAGTACTAAAAAAAAGTTCAAATTACTTGCCTAATAAGAGGCCCCAATAACTGTGAGGCAACATTTATCAAATACAACTGAATCAAATATATGACAAAACAGCTTTACCTAACTGTCAAACAACATTATTTTATCAAATACAACTGAATCAAATATATCTGAAAACAACAAATGCAAGTCGTTTCAGTTAAGCTAATATGTATTTGTGCCATGTACTTCACAGGTTAAGTAAACATTTCCTTACTTTCGATGTCGCTTGACTTAGTGATGTGATGCGCTGAAATATCACACTAGCATCATTTGCTTTTGTATGGTTCATTCCTTTCAAAGACTTACAAGTCCACTAATTACTCGAGGAGAGAACTACCAAGTCCTTGAAATCATAATAATTCCTTGCCATGGACACTCTAACTTTTGAGGTTCGATGTAGACCTTAACAATCCTCACTGGTTACAATTCTCTTCACATTGGTTCCATTAAATTGTGAGGCAGCCTTAAATCAAAAGCGATTGCGAAACGCATGGTTCCTGGCCAAAAGATGCTTTCACGATAACCAGCTAGTGTGTGCCCTTCATTCTTTTTTGGTTCTCCACTATACACATTATCTTCTTCCGTCGTTTTAAACTCTTCACTTTCTTCTCGCACTTACTTCCTTTGCTCTTTAGAGAAACGGTCCCCTAAAAGTAACGAAAGCCGGAATGTCCAGCAGCTTGCGTGCGCCATTTTGAAATGTGTGATTTCGCGTATTTCCACTTTATGTAAACCTGCACGAAATGTCACTTGTGCCCAATACTTCACCGCATTTATTGAACATAAACATTGGATCAAAGCAATAACTTGTTTGTCTCTTTCATAAAACATATCCCATTCAAACTAATTCTGTATCTTTTCATCAACTAGATATATAAAAAGAGAGTGTACATGTTTGTCTCGTTCTTCAAAAATGTGTCCCATTATTGCTTTATGAGGTGGGGCCAGAAATTTAGAAAATGTATTGTTTTTTTGCGCTGAGACCACCAAACCAATTCTCAGTACAATATGTTTCCATTAAATTGCTAATGCTAATGCTCGTCGAAACACGTCACCCGGCCTTTTTACCTTCTATTTTAACAATTGCCTGAGAGTCCCTGTGAACGACATTAATCGTTTTGCTTACATAGAGGAGCTATAAACATAGAGTGACCACCAAAGTCAGCTGGGAATGACGCTAATCGTTTCTACTTACATAGAGTAGTTATCCAAAATCGACTATTTCAACATGGTCGCCGCGTCTGTATAACAACTACTAAACCTTATACGTTCATGTTCTGTGAAACTGCAATGAACCAGCTCGTTTATATATACTTGTACGATTGAACGCCATTATAACAAACAGGATGGATGTACAAGGCAATACGGACCATCTAATTATCTGAATGCGTAGCCAAGAACCAACCTCCTCATAACATATAATGTTGAACTGTCGCTATTCAAACAATGCCTACAAGCCTGGAAAATTAAGGATACCTATCTTGGATTTTTTGGGAAGAAAGTTGCCATGAACATTACGAAGATTACCATTTACTGATAATTGAATACAACTCGTTGGTCATTCGATTTGAATTGAGCAAGAAATTAGTTATAAGTGGTAATTCCCGACCGAACACTCTTGTGTGGGACGAATTTCAAATCACAAGAGGTTATCAATTAAAGGTAAAAGCATTAAAAACAGATTAATGACACTTAGTGTCATTATTAGTATACAATTATACTATTGGAAACATTTTTATATTAATATGTGGTTAACTATTTGGCAATTAATAGCCATTTCAAAAGGGACCCTTTGCTATGTCATTTCAATTTGTCTTGACAAATTAGGTATTTCATCGAGTAATTGCCATTTCTGCCAAAACACGTTTTAAGAACGAGGCCAACATGCACTCTATATTTTTTTTTTATTTGTGGTTGATGAAAAGATACAGAATTAGTGCACGCCATTTTCGCCAAAATCCTCACTTTCCAAAGGGCCCCTTTGCCATCTCATTTGAATTTTTGTTTACAGTTTGGCGATTTTGGCGATTAATTGCCATTTCTGCCATTTTCGCCAAATACGCCATTTTCGCTGAAATCGCCACTTTGCAAAGGGCCCCTTTGCCATCTCATTTGAATTTTTGTTGACAGTTTGGCGATTTGGTGATTAATTGCCATTTCTGCCATTTTCACCAAATGCCGAAATCGCCACTTTCCAAAGGGCCCCTTTGCCATCTCATTTGAATTTTTGTTTACAGTTTGGCGATTTTGGCGATTAAGCACCATTTCTGCCATTTTCGCCAAATACGCCATTTTCGCCGAAATCGCCACTTTCCAAAGGGCCCCTTTGCCATCTCATTTGAATTTTTGTTTATAGTTTGGCGATTTTGGCGATTAATTGCCATTTCTGCCATTTTCGCCAAATACGCCATTTTCGCCGAAATCGCCACTTTCCAAAGGACCCCTTTGCCATCTCATTTGAATTTCTGTTTACAGTTTGGCGATTTTGGCGATTAAGCGCCATTTCTGCCATTTTCGCCAAATACGCCATTTTCGCCGAAATCGCCACTTTGCAAAGGACCCCTTTGCCATCTCATTTGAATTTTTGTTTATAGTTTGGCGATTTTGGCGATTAATTGCCATTTCTGCCATTTTCGCCAAATACGCCATTTTCGCCGAAATCGCCACTTTGCAAAGGGCCCCTTTGCCATCTCATTTGAATTTTTGTTTATAGTTTGGCGATTTTGGCGATTAATTGCCATTTCTGCCATTTTCGCCAAATACGCCATTTTCGCCGAAATCGCCACTTTGCAAAGGACCCCTTTGCCATCTCATTTGAATTTTTGTTTATAGTTTGGCGATTTTGGCGATTAATTGCCATTTCTGCCATTTTCGCCAAATACGCCATTTTCGCCGAAATCGCCACTTTGCAAAGGGCCCCTTTGCCATCTCATTTGAATTTTTGTTTATAGTTTGGCGATTTTGGCGATTAATTGCCATTTCTGCCATTTTCGCCAAATACGCCATTTTCGCCGAAATCGCCACTTTCCAAAGGGCCCCTTTGCCATCTCATTTGAATTTCTGTTTACAGTTTGGCGATTTTGGCGATTAAGCTCCATTTCTGCCATTTTCGCCAAATACGCCATTTTCGCCGAAATCGCCACTTTCCAAAGGACCCCTTTGCCATCTCATTTGAATTTCTGTTTACAGTTGGCGATTTTGGCGATTAAGCGCCATTTCTGCCATTTTCGCCAAATACGCCATTTTCGCCGAAATCGCCACTTTGCAAAGGACCCCTTTGCCATCTCATTTGAATTTTTGTTTATAGTTTGGCGATTTTGGCGATTAATTGCCATTTCTGCCATTTTCGCCAAATACGCCATTTTCGCCGAAATCGCCACTTTGCAAAGGGCCCCTTTGCCATCTCATTTGAATTTTTGTTTATAGTTTGGCGATTTTGGCGATTAATTGCCATTTCTGCCATTTTCGCCAAATACGCCATTTTCGCCGAAATTGCCACTTTCCAAAGGACCCCTTTGCCATCTCATTTGAATTTCTGTTTACAGTTTGGCGATTTTGGCGATTAAGCGCCATTTCTGCCATTTTCGCCAAATACGCCATTTTCGCCGAAATTGCCACTTTCCAAAGGGCCCCTTTGCCATCTCATTTGAATTTCTGTTTACAGTTTGGCGATTTTGGCGATTAAGCGCCATTTCTGCCATTTTCGCCAAATACGCCATTTTCGCCGAAATCGCCACTTTGCAAAGGGCCCCTTTGCCATCTCATTTGAATTTTTGTTTATAGTTTGGCGATTTTGGCGATTAATTGCCATTTCTGCCATTTTCGCCAATGCGTGCATTTCTGGACATATCTCTGAGACTGTAGTTATTAAGTGTTTTTTACGTTGGAATTTACAAGGAAGAAGACCTTTCTTGCCTACTACAAGGATTACGAAAAAGTAACATACCAAATTTTACATCATAAAGCAGATCATGGACGTTTTCTGTACTGTCACAATAAATGTTGATAATGTTCATCATGAGCTGAAGTTGTTCCATGTCCGCAACTCTCTGAATCATGAATTCACAGGGATCTTTGATGTGTGTCACCAACACCATTTCAAGGCGATCTAAATAACAATGATTATTTAGTAAAATTACTCTTCACCAACCAGGGTTGTCAAATTGGGTTAAGGATTTTGCTGGCTAATACTCCCATTTTAAGGCCCACATACTTTGGGTAAATACAGTACATTGACCTAAACAGGAAAACGGAAATAAATAAATCCCTGGCTCCCTTTCAATCTCCTCACCAGCTATTAATACAAATGCAGTTCCCTGTAAATAGATGTGTTTCTGATGAAGCACCTTGCAAGTGCTTCACATCAAAATGTACCCTGTGTCTTACGGCCAAGGAAGCTTTATTTGCTCCACTGTATTAACAATTTTCAATTTGTATTTTTACAATAACAGAGCATTTTTTTCCACGCTCTGATTGGTGAAGAGCTATAATCAATGACAAACCAGGCAAATGATGTCATGATGGAAAAATTTGTTTTCCTCTTTCTCGCGGGCCTGATTTGCCAAGAAACGTTTCTGGAAAGGACCTCAAAACTGTCAATGTTATTGTAAAAAAATAGAAAACAATTTTCAACCACTTGCCTGTGGCGTGTGGTTCCATTTGAGTTTTGCCCATTTTCACATCATTTCTATGGTTGATCATATAGAGTATACATAGACTATGGAAAATGGTTTAAATTGGTTTAAATATTGTTAACTCAATATTTTTCACTGTGGAAAAACATCTGGCAAAACGTAACTGTAATGTAATCGCCCTTTTGGCCAAAAATATTTTCAAAAAATGCACACCACACAGAAAATACAGTAGACAAATGACACTGACATGCAAGATTGGCTTTCAGAATCTTGGACGCTGTGATGGTTCTTGGTGTTCCAGTGTGTTGTTCTTTATCATCAGATTGAAGAGCATTTTCAGCTTCTTCAAGCTGATCCTCTTCAGCTCCTGCAACAACCTCGTCTGTATTGTCCTCCCTCAAGTCATCCTCTGTCAAATCACTGATCTTCTTTAGCTCAAACCTTTGACAATCACAAAACAAAAATGTACTTGTACATGTATTTACAATAGGCCTACAAAAATTTCCTTTGGCTCTTTAAAGCATTTCAGGAAAGACTTGGCAGTGAAAAGGTTCTAGTGTCTCTTGGATCAAGGAATCACCAGTACAGTCAAACCTCAATTAACCCTTTAAGTCCCAATAGTGACCAACAGCAATTTTCTCCTAACGATATCCATACATTGTCAAGAGATTAGGTTATGAGAATTAATAAAATGATCACCTAAAAGAAAATGCTTTGATCTTTTATCAAATTCTCTTGACTAATTCTTAAAGGAGATGTATGGAGATCAGTTTAGAGAATTTGTATGTGGATATTGGGGCTTAAAGGGTTAACAGCACTTATCATCTTTCCTAGACTGGTGGATATAATTTTTCTTCTATTCTGGTTTTGAAATAGGCCTTTAAAACAGATTTGTTGTCATATAAAGGGAAAAAGCAGCGCTCAAATAAAATGTCAAAGGAACGTGACCATGTGAGTTTACCTATTTGGTTGACAAGCAAGGCCATGTGACCTAGATTGTTAATGTGAGGCACCAAAAGAGACAGTCGTGCGTATCTTTGAATTCACAGTCTGCATGTTGCGGCAATAGACTGCCCCATTAATAATAAATTATGGCCAGCTTGTTATCATGGCCATTTTTTTGTTACCTGTAGTTAAAAATGCATAAATAAGCATTCATGCAATGTAGGCAATATTCAACGTACTGAAAGACAGATATAACTTTCTTTTGTATCACAAAGTTCAGAAAGGCTTAGTATCATCACTTGAAACCACCCTATTAACACAACCAGAGTTTTATCAAGTGGTCACATTAAAAGGGGTTCCACTGTTATCACAAAGTAGGGAGCCATATTTACCTGAGGCCTGGCTAAGTAACCAGTTTGCCACCCATGAGGATTGATTTGTCTAATGATGTATGCATCAGTTTATGATTCAATAGATCGGTCAAGAATTTCAGTCATGATCTTACATCGAACAGTTTGCGCACATAACTCACCCTAAACCTTCCAACCCTTAAGGTGCAGTTTTGTATAGATCATTTCCTTGTCACTAAACAACAAAGCTCCTAATTTCTAAAACTTTCTTGTTCATTATCTATGTTTGAAAAGTACCACAGAAAACGCAAGAGGGGGCAAACTTGATGACAGTCCTCACTAATATATTGATTTCTTTAGTGTCCAAGATTATAATGTGATCTCCTTCGTCAAACACAATATCACACAGTAAATACCGCAAGTAAGATCCACAAGTCTTAACTGTACCTTGGCTGTCCATCCATGGACACTGAGCCATACTCTGAAATGTTGTTGCATAATTCTTTACCAGGAACAAACCTGTAGAAAAAGTTCAGTACACAACAGTAATGTTTGACTCACTTCTTTACATTATGATAGGCACCACAATGCGATTGCACGAGAATTTCACTTACTGTGCTTCATCTTTGTCCGCTGACACTGCTACTGCAAAACATGGCATATCTTGAAAAGCCTCCAACTCGCTTTTAAGCTGCATGCACATGAAAGACATTATTTTTCAAAAAAACTATGTGTGTGTGTTCCGTTGTAAACAATTACATATTGCAATTGGTTTTTGCAAAATTAAAAGGATAACTGACCTTCTTTGCACTGTCTATCAATTTCTGTGGCTGTCCAATCAATGTTTCTAACTCTGTAAAATAATAAAAAGTTGAATTGAACAATTATCACAGTTTCACTGCATATCACAATTTCTTTTGAAAAGAATCAAACCTATAGCAAAGAGTATGTTTTTGTTACCTTGTATGTAACTTTTAGCTTTTCGTAAATTCTCTGTAACATCCTCTCGCTGTTTGAGAGAAAGAAAATAACAATGTATGTAAGCTACTTTGTATTTTTGTCTCACTTTTCGACAGTGGTATCTTCTTTACTTCAGTAATGTCCTAGCCTCCTTTTCTTACCTATTTATAATTCCATACAATCTAAAATTATCAATCAATAAATCGATCAGAAATACATGTACTTAGAAAGGTGAGATAGTCAACCTGATTAAGAAGAAACAAAGATATTTTGGATCAATATACGAGTCTGGGAAATTGCCCACCTCCTCTCCCCTAACCCAACATTTTGTCTTAAGTGGCACTCTGGTGTCAATGTTGGTTTAGGGGAGGGGGTAGATGGGAAGTTCCCCAGATAAGGATTTAAATTTTTTTTGTCCACCTACTCCTCCCCTAACCCAAGTTTTTCGTTAAGTAAGAAGTTAGTGTTAATGTTGAGTTAGGGGAGGGGGGAGTTTCCTGGAACCTGATACTGATTCAAATGATTTTTTCCACCTACCCCTCTCTTAATCCAAGATTTTGCCCTAAGTGTGAAGTTAATGTTAATGTTGAGTTAGGGAAGGGGTAGGTGGACAGTTCCCAGAATCACTGACATTGATTTAAATGACTTTGTCCACATGCCCCTCCCCTAGCCTGGTGGTAACAAGTGAGAAGTTAATGTTAACATGGAGCCAGGGATGGGGTAGGTGGACAGTTTTCCCAGAATCTGATACTGATTCAAATGACTTTTCCACCTACCCCTTCCCTAACCCAGAATTTTTCCCTAAGTGAGAAGTTAATGTTAACATGGAGTTAGGGAAGGGGTAGGTGGACAGTTCCCCACAATCTGATACTGATTCCAATAACTTTTCCACCTACCCCTCCCCTAACCCAAGATTTTTCCCTAAGTAAGAAGTTAGTGTTAATGTTGAGTTAGGGGAGGGGAAAGTTTCCTACAACCTGATACTGATTCAAATGACTTTTTCCACCTACCCCTCCCCTAGCCCAAGATTTCAAATTAGGAGGGAAGTTAGTGTTAACATTGAGTTAGGGAAGGGGTAGGTGGGCAGTTTAACAGAATCTAATACAGTTTCAAACGAATTTGTCCACCTACAACTGTACCCCTTCCCTAATCCAAGATTTTGATCTACGTGAGAAGTTATTGGTCATGTGTGAGTTAAAGAAGGGTAAGGTTTTTCAGAATCTGATACTGAATTGCTTGGATGGAAGGCATAAAGGTTAACAAACATGACACACTACAAGGGCTGTGTTTTAAACTGCAATAATGGTTTCAGAAATGCAACTAATTCTAACTTTTACAGAATTCCTTCAGACCCTGATGCACCAGGTATAATAATAATAATGTCTTGTTCAGCCAGAAAAACCCTGAGTGCATTTTTGCCATGATTTTGCTGTCCCTCCAAACAATCCCTTGAGCTTTTACAGTAATAAGTCATACCAGTTCTCCGCTCGTTTGATATGCTTATTTGAACACAAAATTCTATATTTAAAGATCTGATAGTTGTGGCATTTTTTTTTAATTATATGCCATGCAATACATAAATATTGATAACAATTAATCAAAATTCTTTGAAACCTGAAACAATTCTCTTACCAGTTTTTCAAGCATTTGTTCTCCACTGTGGTTCAGCTCCACATCCTTGATCAGTGAATGCTCCCTATAATACAGATCACAAAAATGTTTAAATATAAAGCTATACATGCTGTAAAATTCATTCTTAGGCAAAAGCAGCAAGCTATATTTATCCAAGAGTCCCATTTGTACAGACCCCCAGGCTTTGCAAAAAGCATCATCTTTGTCAACATAGTGTTTTGACAACAGCAAACATGACCAATATATAGGATCACATTTCTGAGACAGTTGTTTTTTGTTATGTGTAGAATGTCTGTGTTAGCGTATGGGGTTCTATGGAAGCTTCAGCATTTGGCAAAAAAATGCAGGTATCTAGTCATTATGGAAATGATGGCTCCTCACACAGGGCTCAAAAAAAGTCTCATCCGGTAGTCTGGGACAAGTAGATTTTCTTGCTGGGCAAGTAACTTTTAAAGCTTACTTGCCCAATGGAAAAGGGTCTAGCCAAGTCATCCTCTAACAAAAACATTGATTAAGATGTGCAAAATGCAAGCAAAATGTGCGACCTGCTTGCCCAACAGACAGGCTAACAAAAATTCAAGTTTTTTTTCACGCCCTTCTCACAGAAAAATGTTTTGTTTTTTCATCATATTTGTCTATCAACACTTGAGCTTGATAAAAACAAGCATAATTATTATGATTAAAAATAAAGCAAATGCAGCTAAATAAAGTTGCTATCCTTGTGGCTACAATTCTTTCCCTGGTTGCTCAAAATGAGCTGAGACACTTTTTAAGGCCTGCAGAGAGTCTTCAGACTCCCCAAATAGAAGGAGGGTAAACCGCAGGCCTGCAGAGAGTCTTCAGCCTCCCCAAATAGAAGGGGGGTAAACCCTGCCATACCTACTGCCACCCCCACACATGCCTATGCCATATGAAAGACACTCTGAGCATTTTAATCTAAATGGAGGACCCTGCATGATTATACCTGGCACCATGCTATAATGGCCCCATCAAATGACGTACCTTGTCTGAAGAGCGGCATATAAGGACTGAAAGTGCTCCCTTATGTCATTGATAATACTATTCTTTTCAGACTTAACCTCAGGAAGAACTCCACAGATTTTCTAAAACCCAAAGGAAAATACCCTCGCTTAGTGAGACACACAGTAGTGGATTCGAAAATAAACCCTGATAATGATTTGGCTGTCAAAGCAGCTAACCATTGTTATCAGGGGTTGATCATTGAGGCATCCTTGCCAACAATGTTTGTTCCTTTTTGATCCTTACCTCAACCTCAACTATCTGCAACTGTAGAGACTGCATATAGCCTTGGGTTTGCGACTGACTAAAAATGCATCATGTTGTTGTCCATAACACTTAGTAAATTTTTTTACGTATTATTACAGTACTCTTGATGCTCAAACTTTCTCAAACTCATTAATAATTCATTAAGAAAATACAAAGGAAATTAATGTTTAATGAGTGTTTGGAAATCGGATGAAACACTGCTTAGTATTTGCATCCTTAATTTCTCCTTCAAAAATGATTTTGTTTGAGAAGAAATATCAAACATTCGACACAGTGTTTCATCACCAGATGAAACACCTCGAAGTTCGTCAAAAATACTCCGCTGCGCGTCGTATTTTCAACTCTCTTCTCGGTGTTTCATCTGGTGATGAAACACTGCATCTCATGTTTGATATATTACATCAAGCACAGTGATTTTGTTACAAATAGTTATGGTGAGTCCTGGGACTCATCTTCTGAAAAATCATGAGTCCCAGTAAAAAAAAAAAAAAACGGGTCCCACATTGAAAATGCTTAGGCCTTTAAATAACCAGACGGTTAATCTGTGGACAGAGTCCAACACTCTGTATTACAGTATACTGAAATTAAAATATAGTCCTTCCAATATAGTCCTTTTAAAGCACAACAAAGGCTAAAACTAATAATAGTACATTGTTAAACAACAGCCATAATAACTGCCACAGAAATTACACCAATGGGATATTGCTACAAAATGTCCAGATCGATTGATCGATCTTTGCGTCCTACAGGACGCATGCCATGAATTATTTTGCGTCTTTGGGGATTTTTATGCGTCAAGGATGCAGGACTCAGAGGTAACAAAATCACTGCAAACAGACCTGTCATTTAGGGTGGGGGCTGGGAATTTCCTCTGACTACTTTCATAGGAAACAACAAAGTAAAATAGAACCAACAAACCTCCTGGCAGTTCAATTCCCTGCCTACTATATAATGCACATAAATCCACTAACAGAAAATTTTTTTTAATGATGACATCCCTGTCAAAGCACACAATTTGCAGACTACATTTTATATTATACTCATACTAAGAACACTGCCACTAAAAAGCTTACCTTTACTGACTTGTCAAGATGTGTGATTATAGTAGTCACTTGATCAATAGATGCCTTGAACTGAGCCTGGACCTCTTGGGCCTAAAATGACAAGAACAGATTTTCAAGCTTCGTAGACTGCGAGCAGTCCCTTTCCAGTCACGAGACCACATTACGTGGTGTATATTTATTTCAACTGGTTCTTGCCTTTGATGGATGGAGTTACAAGAACATGCCTGGAAGAACAGAAAATATGGTCCCTTCCTCCCTTCCGTCCAGCATTCTTGGCCGGCATTTTTTGTCTTGCTCAATTTGCTCAATCATGCAAACAATCTGAAGGACTGCTGAGAGTCTTCACATTTCTTAGGTGATACATTTTAGATTTTATGAGATCCAGGGCTGTCAAAAAGTTTTTAAGTAGCAGGCTGATAATGAATAGTAGGGAGGCTTCGGAACTTACACCAAAGGCACAAGTTCTTGAGGGACGAGGCATCTAGGGACATTTCGAAAATTAAGAGTTTCGGAAATGGCACTTCCAGGTGTTTTCAAGAGGTATTGTCCACCACGAACGCCATGTTGTTTTGTCTTCATCCAAGACTGGGAACAATGTCATTGAAATGTCCCAGGCGTTCCACGACATCGCACGGCTTAAACGTTTCACAGATCTAAACCTGTTTAAATATGAATTCAGTGTCATTCAAAACTGGGAAACAGATGCTTTACAATTTTATTTGATACGGTGCTCCTTTTTTTGTTAGCAGTTATGGCAGAAGGAGATGAAAGTGGCTGGCTAACTAGCTGGTGGTTTTGGCTGGCTACTAGCCCCTATTGACAGCCCTGGAGATCCTTATTCATCCCAGGCATACATGCCTACATTTTCCACTTCAAACACATCAGTTCTAATTTGGGAGATTCTATCCCTTTGTGGTAAAACATCTTACTCTTATCTAAGTGCCTCCAAAACAACTAATACGCCATGACAGAAGGAAAAAACCTCCGGCAGTAAAATATTATATACTCACAATATCATCAACAGGAACGATAGCATGAGTTTGTCTCTCTCCCATTACCACACAGTGTGAACATACAGGCTGCCCAGTATCCTTGTCAAAAAACTCCAGAGGTCTGTTGTTATGCTCAGGACAACCAACTGCTGTGTCACTGCTGAAAAATTGCACAAGCGAAAGCAAAACTTATATTTATTGTATATTTATGAGTCCTGCAGCCATTTGATTTTGCTACAACTGCCTTTTAATACCCTACTTGATCTCCATTATTCTTCAGATGATACTCAGCTTCATTCAATAATTGTTAATTATTTTGTAAGTCACAAATGCTTCACATGCCTGGTCATCACAAAGAAGGCTTGAAGCCACTAATTGGGTTATGAGGTCATACTGGTCTTGGTAGTGAACTTATTGTCACTGAAAAAGGTTTTTGTGTATGACATTATTTGTGTTCATCATTGTGGATTCAACAAATTTATTCCAAAACAACATCTTTGGTTCCAATTAACTCCCTACCTCTCCTTGCCTAACGGGAAAATTGAGTAAGTGGTGCAATTGTCAGATAAATTTTCATTAATTTGCAAAGAAACCCTGGATGAGTAATTAAACTTCTAAAATTCTCCTTCTAAGTTACCATGTATTTGCTTTAACCATGTTGGTCATAACAATATCACTACATAGTCAAGAAAAAAGGTTAACAGAATTGATAACATTATAATCACCAAAGGGTAAAGGCTTTGATCTTTTATCCAATTCTCTTGACTAATTTTTTAAGAAACTTTTGGAGATCAGTGCGGGGAATCTGTATAATATTGATATTGTAGCTATTAAAAAGGATTGAAATAAAGGGTAGAAAATACAAATGAATATCATTACCTTGTTTGTTTGACAGGAAGAGGGGTATGTTTCCGTAAGGCATTGGAGTATGAATGAACCTAAATAAGTGACAACAAAGATGCTTAAGTCTCTAAGAACTCCAGGATACATCTCTTGGTGATGTACAATTCACTGTTGGGGCTAAAAACAATGAAAAAACATTTCCCACACAACAGAAAAAAATGGAAAGAAATTGAAACAATCAATGCTTTATTCTGGGTTTAATTGGCACCAACATGCCAATGACTTAAATGACAAGAAAACTTTTAATTTCCATGTACATGAAGTCAACTCTCGCCTTACTGACCATCCACTGTAATAGACACTCCGATAATACCAACAAATCAAATTGCAAAAGATGCAACTGATTATTAATGATATTTTGAGTGGAGGCAGATTTTTATTTCAAAGAAATTGTAAAACCTCTTGCAGTTTTAGAGCATTTGAACCACAAACTGTGGCTAATGCCTTTCTAAAATTAGGAAAAGTTGCATGATGAAACAGAGTGTTTGGAATTAATTTTCATGTGAGGTCTTAAAAAACTCACATGTACACAATGTTTTTGAGCGGTTCTTGGAGGAAGTGACTTTAGTAGCCAATACATGACTTGTAGAGCTCAGACTCCACTATAACATTTAGGCTGACATAAGTCAGTTAAGAAATATCAATAAGCAAAGTGGTTGTTGACCACTATACAGTACATACTCTCTCAAAACAAGCACTGCAGTATACAGTCTCACACTTATTACACAGGCTTGTTGCTGTTCCTCTGCAACATTCTTCGCACTTTACACCTGAAAGTAAAACAAAAATGACACAACTAAAGAGAACAGTGAAAAAACATTTTTGTGACATGTTAAGTTATACTCTGCATTTTTTTGATTGGCTCTTGGGGACAATCCCAGAGACACCAAAAGAGCCTGCTTGCACACTAGTTACAGTTGCTGTAGTCGAAGGCAGTTTCATGGTGTTATAGATCCCTCTGGTGTGATCACCAAACAACGTAACAGAAGAGAGTGCTCCAAGCTGCAACTATTTTAGTCACCATGGCAACCAAGATTACAGGCCCCAATATGGCAACCTGGCTAATCAGTAATGACTGCAAAACTTCATTTTTTATTATTAGTATCTATGGTGAACAAAAGAGAGTTCGAGATATTATAAGCTTGAGAGTGACTCTGAGGGTCTTTCCCCCACACCCCTTCAATAATACAAACTATGAAAAGACACAGAAGGATACCCACATATCACAGCAGCTAACCAACAAGAGTTTCAGCATAGGTCATCAAACTGGCAATAATTATTACCAGAATCCAAAAAAAAGTGAATTAATAATTTGTTAATTTCACTACAGCAGTTAATGCAATTTGACAGAGTTTAAAACAAGAAACATTACAGTGTATAACTGAGTCTTTTTTGCCATCAGCAGCACTTAAGAATGAGCATGTGACAGGAATCCATGTGCTCATGGACCAAAATGTGTGGTAATGTAGCATTTGGCATGAGTATGTGCATTTCTTTGGCAAGCATTGTATTAATATTGGAGCTCTTTTAATAGGCCTTGCCCTCCTGAGAATCCTGTTCGGATTCTCTGTAAAAAGCTCAAGCAGGGAAAGCTAAGTTTCCAAAAGAGAAGACGACTTCCAAGAAATTGTACAGTTTTAAAACTGTGATTCAGATAAGCTTTTAATATTCATACATAGTTTTAAGGTTAAAATAGTAAAAAGTCAATTCTGAAAGTCTAGTTTATTACATTAATTGAACAGCAGTTCTCTTTTGACAAGTGCTGAGTATTTTTCTGATCCTTTTTTCCGAAAGCAAAACAAACTTCTTGTACAAACTTTATGAAACTTTGTAAGTACCTGGTAAGCTGACCTAAAGACTACATGCCTATAAAACCCACCTTTTGGTTTGATTATACACAGCTCATATAGCTGCATGAATGGCCCTCAAAAAACAAACTGAAGTAAATGACCACCCTGCATGATTAATGTTCGTACTGATCAGTTAGCAACTCTTCAAAACTGCCAGTCTAGTTTGCTCTACAGACAGCTCAACTATACGTCACTCCGACTTGTTCGGTTACTTAAACAGCTTCAAAATCTTTTCTTGGAATAATATTTAAACTTGGGCTAGTTTACAACTTTATACTGCCCAAAAAATGCCTCCATTTTTCAGGACAATAAACATCACTGATCTCATTCTTGTTCTGAAGTTTGGAGAACAATTTAATTCCTAATTTATGCAGGGCAGTGGCATGATTCAACCTGTCAAGTTTTTATCCAATGAAAGTCTGTTACTTGTCTTCAGTAGCCAATCACCAAGCATGAAAAGTTATTGACAATAGCATTGCACTAGTTCAAGAAAGTCAGAAATATTAAGTTTTCTTCATTTTTACCAGCAATATTTGACTTTTTCAAGCTTTTGTTATTGTAAAAAACAAATTGACACCAGTTTTTTTATCATCCGTCCTCTTATTGATGATAAAATGACACCATAACAATGTCATTGTCAAAGTGTTGTGGATCCACGAGCCACAGGACAGAAGATAAAAAACTGGCATCAATTTGTTAACTTAATAGAGACTTCAATGACTTCAAGATCTGACTTTGAGAGTGAAGACAGAGCTAATGCGAGCGATATGTATGACCATAGCAAGGACATTGAAAGGAGCATTTAATTAGCTTTAAAATGGTATTTTTTTTTTAACATGACCTTAATAAAATCATAATTTTTACTCAGTGAAAAGCTAGAAGTTTACGTACTTTGAAGTTTCCATAACAATCACTATAAATGATTTCCTGCGATAAACCAAGAACACTCTGCTTTACAGGATCTAATTTTTGACATTAATTGAAGTGGTAAGCTGATATTTCCACAGAAATTTAATATAATAATTCACTGTACAAGGGATTGCTTTACTAACAATGCCAAATTCCTATTTTTCTTTGTTTAAAACTGCATCATATTTTACACAACTTCCTATTATTTTTCCCAACTGCTGAGTTATTAAAGAGTCACAAAGTTGTAGCTATACCTTCAAAAGAAAATGTTTAGTTTCCAAATTATAAAAATTAAAGATCGGCTGGAAAGTAACAGTGTTAAATTACAACAAACAACTTTAATATCAGGGACAGGAGCTGTGAGTAGCTGTAATTTATTCTATTTCTTATTTCAAAAAATCACAGTAACTTACATCTCTTTATCAGGCACACTTCGAAACCAATCTGTTATTGTAATATCAATTTTTTTTAAGGAATTTCTAAGAAAGCCCATAGTGTACACAGGTCTATTGTGTGTGAAATCATTAAACTTAAATGTGATTGACTTTTCATTTGGCTTCCAATAAGAATTATTCTTCCATCTGACTTGGTTTTTTCATGTATTTTTAGACAATGTAATGTAATATTAAAGTTTGAAAAAACTGCTGTTCAGAGTTAGAAAAATATATTGTAAACTGTATATATCATGTCCCTTTCAATCTCAAGGGAGATTTAAAAAATCAGTTTGCTGTGGTTTCAATGTTGCTGTGCTGGTTCAATTTTATCCTTGGTTTTAATTTTACTTTCTTTTGTTTCAAACTCATTAACATGCATTACCATACCCCGAAACAAAAGAAACTAAAATCACAACCAAGGATAAAATTAATTGAACCACAACATAACCTTTATGATGAAGAAAACATTAATTTCAGCATTCAAAGGTACAAATTTTGGTAATTGAAAGCATCCCCTTCCAACTCCTGAATCTGTGGCTACAATATCAAGAGCTTTCATAAACAAGTACAAGTTACAAGCTCTACCCACTAAAAATTTACACACTCACTCTTTTGTTGTGGTTCAGTTTTATCCTTGGTTTAAATTCCATTCTTTGTTGCTGTAAATTTAATGTATTATAATAAACATTTTAAATGAACATTTAAAACATTAGGATAAAAATTAATTGAACAACAATGTAATTGTATTATTATATAAAGACGGACTAAACAGCATTCCTTCATGACTCCAGATAAATGCTATGTTTTGGTTCAATTTTTAGCTACTTTCAGTCAAATATTAAACCTATTTTAAGTTCAACTGAAACATTCCTCTTTGTTTAAACATAAATTTCAAACAAATCTAAAATCTGTTTTAGACAGAATATCCAAGTTTTTCTTTCAAATTTAAACATTTTGGTGTGCCTTGCCTTGTTTTGAAAGCAAGAGTTTTGGGAACTCAGAAATGGCCTATCATTAACACAGTTTTTGAATAAAGTTCCAGAAACCAGGGGTTAGGCGAATTAAAAGAAAGTTTCAAAATAATAAAAGATTCAAAACTTCTTAATGCAAACACAAAATCTAATTGAACAGATCCATGTACATTGGATAACTTGGACTAAAAAATCCACCCACAGACTGTTTTGTGCTGGCGTACGTATCTAAAGAGTGTAAAAAGTAAAATTTCAAAGGTATGAAAACATCTGCCCTGGTTGACAACAGGACAATGAGCTACTTAAAAATACAGAAATTGTCTACTGTCTACTGTTTGAATAGCAAAGGAAACTGCCAAATGGACACCCATGCATTAACTCCAAAAGAAAACCTAAAACTGTAACCATACTGCACTACATGTATGTTAAATTTGACACCAGTCTCAAGGATAATATTATCATGATTGTAAAGGCAGTTAAAGGAAATATCAGTTATGGATCCTGTTCATTTATAATTTCTGCTGGGAACATTTGAAAAAACATCTTCCTTTTACATGTAAAAAGCTTTTATGACAGTGTTTGTTACCCACACAACAGGAAAAAAGCAAACAAAACAGGTGCACCTGTAAGATGATATGTTTACTCTATTAAAATACAACTCAGTTTAGTACAGCTTATTCATTCCTTCTTCAATCTTGGTAGAATCCACAGATAAGGAAAGATTTTTTCATCTGAATGTCCAAGGCAAGTAGTTTTGTTTTGTTCTATGAGTAATCCATTTTCAGGGAGGCTTTACTTGTAAACAAACATTAACCTACATAAATACAGGAGCGTAGCATCCATGTACGCACACATAGTTGTATGCCCATGCGTACAGCTGAAATCTAGAAAAAAAATTTTCTCTCCTGAAAGCATGTTTAGCGTTAAATATAACCTCTGCCTTGATGTCTTTGCCTGCCTGAAGGGTAGAAATCTCGCCCTTCGCTTGTAACCTCTGTCTTGATGGCTTGACTCTTTTACCCTTTTTTTCCATGAACACTGATAGCACAAGGGATGGGTAAAATAAACAACTAACTACTGCATTTTCCTTTCATACTTATTTGCTAAAATTGTCCTGTGGAAAACATAGGAAATGGCATGGGGACTCCTCTCCCAGATAGACTCGGCTAATTAGAGTTCCTTTGGCACTCTAACTTTTCTTTCTGTGCATACACCTTCAAAATCTCATGCTATACCCCTGATAATTATAGTACAAGTTTCAGGAACTTTTTTTGCAGAAATGAGTAACATTGTAACACCGAACTAACTGGATGTGTACTATAAATTTCACTTGCGTTCAGCCAAAAAACTAGAACTATTCTAAAATCTCCTTGACAAAGAGATAAAAAAAACCTGTTATTACAGTTGTTGAAATTGTAAGTGAAACAAAGATCTACCTGGAGATAAACCTACAACGTAAAAAAATATATATATGCATGTATTACAGCATCTAACTGTAGGAATAGAGCATTTTCACTCCTGTGGCCAGCATCTGTGCAAAGCTTAGGAAAAATTAAATTTAGGACTTTTCCAAAAAGTATCGGTCCACAAATTCAGTCGCTTGAAAGGGTTGATTACTCTGGAACACGTGAACACTACTGAGTGGTCAAAAAAATTAGAATCTTAATTAACAAAACTGCGATGGTCGGGTGATGTAAACTTTCATTGTATGCAAATGGCTTTTGTGATGAGCATGCAGTTTATTTTCGGCAATGATTGAAATGACATGCCATGTAAATCGCTCTTTTGATCTGACTGAAATGACATGCCATGTAAATCACTCTTTTGATCTGATTGAAATGACATGCCATGTAAATCACTCTTTGATCTCTGGCAATGATGTTCAATGTATTCTCTGAAATCCAGGCCCTTGAATTTTCATGTATTTATACAAATGAAAGCAAGCGAACGCAGACGTATTTCCAGTCATCGCTAACACACGTACTAAATCAATACAGAAACAAATAAAAAGCAAATATCCTGAAGAATACTCGACGTTGATAAAGTAGGAAGTAAAAAACCTTTAGCAAGTAAATCCTGTTTCGTGTAGAACTAATTGCCTCCTCATTTCTCGATCTTATCCCCAAGCAAGCGAGTGTGAATGCTGCTGTACGAGCGTTCCTGTTGATGCCTAAAACAGGGTGCTCATAAGGCATCAGAGATTGGAAAGTTCTCCATTTACTACACAGAGTTCTCTGAAGGGTGTCATACAGCTGTAAATGTTACACAGGTCAAAATTAAATTCAGGTTAAAATTTTTCAACCTTCATGTAGGTTCATTATCGATTTCCTTTGTACTCCTAGCCCTAATTATTCATGAATTAGGGCTAGGAGACAAACGAAATTGAGAATCAACCTGGGTTAAAAAATCATAACCTTAATATTTTGACCTGTAACATACCTTACTTCCTCAAATAATCGCCGTCCCTCAACTAATCGCCTCCACTGAATAATCGTTCCCTTTGACGGAAATATTTAAAATAATCACCTCCCGTGAATAATTGCCAATAACCTCCAGTGAGCAACATTTGAAATAATTGCCTCTGCCTCCCTTAATTAATCGCCCATTTTGGTGCAAAAAAAAATAATTAATTGCCTTAAGCTACGTGTACTATTCAAGGAATTATGGTATGTGAGTTTTTAATTTATTCTTTGCTGACAGTTTGTGTACATGTTATTCAATTTCCTTTAGATGCAAACTGCAGTGGTGTTATTGGTTTGCCTTGTGATGATTTGTTCCACTACACCTGCTCAACAAAACTTAATTCAGTGTATAGGTAATTGTGAGCACGATTCAGACTTATGCATACAAGTCCTGTGTCCCGGAAAATACTGCAGCCAGTGCTATGAGAAGAGGGAAGAATGCAAGGAATGTTGCAGAAAAACAAACGGGAAAAAAAATTGTTAACAGACTTCACCTACAGAAGACCTTCTTTAAGAAGAAAAAAACAGATGATCAAAATATTCTATTGCAAGAAGATTGTATGAAAGGGATCACCCAAAGGCTAAAGAATTTAAATGCAATGAGCAAGGCTTACCTACGGTCACTTTCAGTTATTGAAATGAAGACTGAAGAAGCTTTTGAAGTGGTAAAACTTGTTATTAACAATATTAAGTCTATCTTAATAACCAATAAATTAAACAGGCTCAAAGCTCACATTGTGGTTCATCTAGATTGTACATGTTTGTCAAACTTAATAATGTTTTTAAAAGGTACAATGTGCACTGTACATGCAATGCAATGCGTGATGTGAGATCTTGACTAGCTCTTTGAATATGGAAGATTTTAGGATGCCTTTATTACTAAAGCTACAAGCAAGTTTGATATGGCTGAACAAGTATACAACATTAGGCTCCCTCCCTCCTCCCCCCTCCCCCACCCTCTCTAATAACCCTGTGGGAAAGAAAGCCATTAATAAAGTCCCCCCACCCCCCAACTCTTTCATATTAATTAATCATAACTGATAAACTTCATGGACTGATCCAATATGGTTTATTCACATGCTGGAAGTACCACCTCCCCCTGAAACATGTTTGAAATAAATAACTCTCCTGGGGGATGGGGGGATCAGCAGAGGGTTTACGCTAAGTGCCCTGGGTTTGTAACATGCTTACCTACAGCTATACAGCATCTACCAACAAAAATTTAACAATAATTCATACTGGAAATACTTACCAGTATCATTCTTTGCTGTTTCAGCCTTCTTCTCCTGCGCAAACTGATTAATAGCTCTCTGCAGACCTGCTTTAGTTCCCAGCTTTGAACGCCCTGTCCTCTGAACATCACTGTAAATTGAGAAAACTCCATTGTCAGGGAATTTCAAAGAACCAAGGACAATGGAAGGTTTAGCCCCTGAAGCAAGTAAGGGATCCACTCATCCAGACCCTTAAAAAGCAGGGGGGGGCAAACTTAAGAAGTTTGTACAGAAACAAAAAAATAAGAAAATATGTACTGGATCAAAGATCAACAGCTAATACAAAAATTTGTGATTCCTTACGTGTGGCTGTTGGTATTTTCACAAACATTATAACCTGGGCTACTTAAAAAAACAAAGCCAACCAATCAGATTGTAAGAAAAGAAACAAACAGTGAATACCAGCAGAAATTATCCGAGGAAGTTAGCCACTCTTGCTAAAAGTGCAAAATTCAAATTTTATTAAACTCCATAGACCATAAGTATTTAAAAAATAAACCAACACAAAGCTATCTTTTGAACATTGTACTGCATTTACAATTATAGTAAGGCTCTACACCGTATGTACATGTAACTGGAGAAGAATTTTGAAAGTGAAGCACTTGTGATGACTGAGAAAGAGTGGATATTTTCAGTTGTTCAACCAGGGTTTTAATAACTCTTGAGGTGGATCTTCATCAAGGCAGGCATGTCAATTATGTCAGACTGAGAGTAACCTGATGTAGAAAAATGCAAAAGCCATTCTGAGTTTTCACTTAACACATACAGGATATGAAAGATATCACCTCAGCACATAGAATCAGTCTGATTTTGCATAAAAGGAGCTCTTGGTATTGGTGAAGGGTTTCCTTGAGTCATATTCACTAGGAACCAGTAGGTGTAGCAGTTTGGCTGGGGTGGCAAAGAAGAGGGTGATTCACAACATAACGAAATCCTTGTTAAACAGATTCAGTACGTGTTTGGTCATAGTGACTAAAAGTTCAAAAACCTTCTCCAGTAGCCCTAATAGAGCGATTTTCGTATGATCTTGAAATGAAAAGGCGCAAACAAAACAGAAACAACAAATGAACGGAAATAGAGTGCTTTGATTGTCAAATGGATACAAATAGAGCAAACGCTTCGCTGAAAAAACTTCATCCCCAAAGAACTTTCAAGAAATGAATCGATACTTTGCTTTGACATTATTCTGCAACATGATTGTCTAATCGAACTTGTGCTTTCTCCACATTACGGTTTTCTTTGGCTAGAAAACCAAGAGTCCATGTTTTGATCTATTCCTCCATTGGCTGATAAAACAAATAACAAACAATTACCGAAACCATTTTTCAAGGTCATACAAAAATCGCTCTAATATGAGAGTTACACATGCTCACCTTCGAAATGATGCCCTCTTGGTATTGGTTATCACTCCTAACAAGTGGATGTTGGCTGGAATACCCTTCACCCCCTTTTCTCCCTCCGTTTTCAGGGGGGTGTTGTAAGTGCATTCAGGGCATGACACCTGTGTTTTCTGTACCCTTGCCAACTTTGTGATGCAACCCTCACAAAAGGTGTGGCCACACTCCAACAATAAGGGGATGCGATTACCAATTGGCTTGGAAACATCTTAAGAGCAAACAAAAAATGTTTATGTTCAAATGGTGGTCTTTACAGTTGAAAACTCTAAGGCTGGCAACCTCTTCAAGTTCTAAACACTTTTATTGGAACAAAGAACCACTGGTAGAGAGAAAAATAAACCAGTGATTCTTTTGCACATTACAAGACAATACAAGAAGTAATCCAGGGTTCAAAATACAGCGCATAGAAGCTGGCTGCCCGCGGTAGCCTGCACTTTCACCACATTTGCCGGTGACTTTTCACTGAAGAAATAGAAAATGTCATGCTTTGAATGGCCCACTGAAATCAAAGTTGCCGAAATGTTGCAGTAAACATTGCATATCAGGCATTAAAGCAGCAAAGAAATGTTTTAACAACTTTTTGACCACGTTTTAAAATGAGTAGAAAGATTAGAAAAAGGTTTGGAAATTTAAAGTGTGCTAGAAAAGTTGAAAGGGAGGATTCTTGTTCATTGCGAACGACTAATTTTATTCTTTTACACAGTAAGCGGCAAAATTACCAGGAACAAATGTGTTCATTATGGGTTACAAGAATTTGAAATCATCAGCCATTGCTGAACACATATAACGCAAACTTATTCATTATAGACAGCCGGGAAAAAATACACCTTGACAAAAACGCCCAGAGATTCAGACTAAAAGCTGTGATTTTATTTTGAACCCTGTAATCAGGGATTAAGAACCTGTAATAAACTGCATAAATTTTGTAAAAATTCTAAATACTTAAATGCCATTTTGCATGTGCGCCTAGACCCATGTAAAAAATAGAGCTTAGTTCACACTTAAACTTTCATCATTAAATAGTTTGTGGTTTTGTAGCTTGCTTGCACATCCTGATCTTTGTTGATTCATCACAACACAACAGATATTCCTGAAATATTTCACTTCAGGTGTTCATGGTTTTCTGAGTTTGATGGTTAGCCTGGTGAATAATGTGAGAATGGTGACTTTTCTCTCTGTGACCGAGGAACTTCAGAGAGTAAAAATTGTCCTGGTAACTTATTGCCAATGAGCCATCCAAGTAAAGACACTCAGATGGCGAGGCAGCAGCAGAATAGAGCCGCGAATGACTGGGTTGCAAAAAGGCAGAAAAATTCTCGATCAAGCTTAAAAGGGTTACCCATAATTCGTAACCAGCAACCTGATGTAACGTAGATTCCCCTGAGACCAAGTGGTCAGTTGTTAACCAATCAAAAGGCAGTACCTGGCGCATGTGCTAAAGTTGAATGTGGTACGCTTTTTAAAATACAAAATTTCACACAATTTCCGCCATCACGACTTCCTGTGTTTATTTACCTAAATTTATTTGTCAAACCTGGCCACAGCAGTCAAGAAACACGAGTACTTGATGCATTGCCTTGATGCAAAAAATCTAACCAGCAAACGAAAAAATAAGAATACAAAAAATTACACGCCTAAAACAAAGAACAAAGGAAAAGAAAACAATGCCATTTTTTTCAAGACCCGCCAGAGTTAATAAAAAAATTGAAAATAAAATACCAACATGCGTGTGGGTGGGTATGAAAGAACAAAATATGCAAACGTTCACTTTGCGTTCCATATTTGCATTGATTCATATTCAGAAATGAACATCGGTGAAACATGATCTATTTCATTGCCTAGCACATGATCGAAAGTCTCCTCCACAAAGAAGAAAAGATCGTTAATATTTTTGGCCAAAAGTTGATTTGGTGAGAGGTATGTTTGACAAACAGCTTGCCTTCAACGGTACTTTATTAGAAGTCAATAATAAAATACAGCAAAGCTCTCATTTGGGTCGTCACACAACACTTTGTAGTGATGAGTTCACTGAATGTCAACAGAAATTTGCGTAAAGTTGTTTACAAGAAGCTCAAGAAATATATTGAAATATATTGTTTGTTCTCGATTAGCCTAGGTTTATACCAGACTAATCTGCAACCGAGTCTGCAATCTAGATACATGTTCAACATAAAGAAATCATTATTAATCGATGTGCTAAATTTTATCCCCAGAAAAGCAAGGGAACTGTTGAGAATCGCACCGAGAATTGCGATTGATTTGCCCAAAGGACGATACTTATTCAAAGACTTCGTCAAAGTCAAACAATGGAGGGACCGACCATTAGCTGTTTAGCATCAACCGTTAGATGGTTAGAACATTAGACCAAACCTTTAGAGCAAATCGTTAGAGCGCTTGGACAAACCGTTAGAGAGTTAGAAAAGCTGTTAGCTATCCGTTAGTTTTCTAATGGCTAACAGATTATTGTTAGTGTACGTTTTCCCAAAGAAGGTCATAAATAAACTTAATCTTTCACTAGTCCTTGCTTGCTCTTTAATTTTGCACCTTTAAAGTTGTCTGGGAAATAAAGAATGAATGAATGAACTTCTGCTGTAGAATCATGTTTTCTTCCGGTAGGCACGAGAACCTGGGGGTCTGGGTATTAATTGCTACGGTCAGCCATCTTGATTTTTCTTGTGCATACACAGTGCACGCTAAAATGAAGTGACTGTTCATCGTCGGAGAGATGATAGCGAACTCCCAGCAAAGAAGAGGAAGACTTTTGAGACAAACATCTTTAAGTTTTTTCTTGAAAGGGCACCTATTTCTAATTTTTGTTGTGCTACAAATCAAAATAATCCTCATATTAAGTATGTCTCGTGCGATCGACCGCATCTTTTAAAACCCTGTGGAAAATACGTCTCGTGGGCACCCCCCATACCCTTCAGAAATTTCTACCCTTTAGTCCCCCCCAACCCCTAGGAATTTCCATTTCCTATCCATGGGGGGGGGGAGGGGGATGGGTATTTTCTGGAATCACATAATAGTCTTCATTTTCCTTCTCCATCAAGGGTTTGCAGGTGTTGCAATAGCTGCTCCAAAATCAACATGTTCTTTCACAGCTATCATCATACTACTTGTCATCCCTTGTTACGCTAGGTGATAGCAAGTAGACAGTTTTAAAAAAAGGAGTAACACGTGTGTGGGACATAAGGGGGAGGGGGAGTTTACCATTCACTTTGCACCCGGGGACCATGGCGCATAACACTAATGGTGTAGTTGGACCCAATGCGTGTGGGTCTGAAACTGATGCTAGAATATTCATCTGTAAAAGCCACAACAACGCCATTAATTTATTATGGAAGCAGTAGAACGATCTACGGATTAATCGACGTTTTCATAAACACAGCTGATCTCAAGAGAAAGTTCATCGGTTCATTGACCGCGTACAATGCTATGCGTGACACCGAATCTGCATGCACAAAATAGTTTTTAAACCTATCAGCAGTTTCCTACCTTTGAAGCCGTAACTTTTGCAGCAATTTGGGCAAGTCGGTGTCCGCTGCATAGCGAGAGAAAAGCAGAAAATCAACGTCTGTCTGGCCAACGTGCTAAGAACGTTGCAGGTTTTTCGGATACGAAGCTACACAAACACATGTGTTTTCCGACTCGTACGATAACTTCCAAATTAGGAGGTGCGAATTCTTACGACTTCTTCCAAATATGGAATAATACTTTTTGGCGCCAAAGTAGAACTCGTTTTGCGGGGACCTTCGAGAACGCAAGCTTGTGTTGTTTTCATGCTAGAAATCTATCTACATTGATTGAACTTCGATCCATAAAAGCCCTGATCATGAAGCTAAATACTCCAGAAATAGCTTGGCATGGAAAGGAACCAGTGTTGAGCGTAGATTTTTGCAAAGTTGGGTCAAAGTGGCGACTTGCTTCAGGAGGAGCAGACAATGATGTCAAGGTGCGCTATAGATCTGTGATAGAAATCTCAGAAAATAACCTAAGCTTGAACCTTATTATGTTTGTATTTGATGTATCATATCCTTTGCTCCTTATGTTCTAATTTATTCTTTTTCTTTTCGTTAGATCTGGTCGATTGCTTCGAGTGATGATCAGCATTCGCAGATAGAATTTTTAGCCAATTTGAGTCGCCATACGAAGGCCGTCAACGCTGTAAGATTTTCACCCACAGGTAATGATGCTAACTATGTAAAAAATGAATAGAGCCTTCCAGTTTTGGGATCCAGGCATCCCTAGCTACATGTATCATAGTGGATGTCATTCTCATCGATCTCAATGCAACAAACTGAGCAGCGATTTTCAAGTCAAAAATTAAGCTTAATTATAGTTATTGTTCCCTCATTGTTGTGACCCGTGCCCCAACCTTTCTGCAGGCCACTGAAAGGTAATATTGCTGATCGCGATCATAAGGTGTGGAAAATTAATGTAGGCTTGATGAAGAGTTCTTCGTTCTACATTATTCCAAGCTGGCGGAAAATGGGGAAGTATGGGTGGTTTGGACTTTTGCCTGCTTCAAACATCCTTTTTGTTGCTCCTACAGAAGAGATTCTTGCATCTGCTGGTGATGGTAAGTTAGTTCATGATTCTCAGAAACATTGCTTTTAATCTTCAATATTTTGCTAATCTTTTGTATGTTGTATTTCTATAAAATGGGAAACTTTTAGACCACCAAATGTTACAAAAGAAAAAGATGAAAATATAGGAAAATAAAAGACTCGACAAAATCTAGATTAGATCAACCCCTGCAAGTCTCTTTTTATTGACAAGAGGCTGGGAATAAGGTCACAGGGGTGGGTCAGGTTTATAGTAATTTTCTTATAAATCTATCTTGTGAACCTTTTTATTTCTGAGGGGGTCATGCATGTATAAAATGTGCGACCCGTTCACCCAAACCCATTGTAGCCTGTCTCGTGGTGAAAACACGTACTCCACCATTAAATACACCGTCATATCCCCACTGATCAATAAATGAAAAGTACCGGTACATATACCTCCCTCAACCCCACTGCCTGGAGTGCTCCAAATTTCTTTGCATGCCAGGCTTAGGGGCCTGTTTATATGGGGTGAACCAGCCCAGTTAGCCAGGCTGGCGAAGTTCATGCCTCGTTTTCCCTTTAAATTATTGTTTTGTTTATATGAGAAGGTGGGCTGGCCTGCTTGCTAAGATCTCAGCTCGGCTCGAGCAACTTGGATCGCAGCAAGCAGGCCAGGCTGGCGCACCTCATATGAACCGACCTTTAGAGAGACATAGCCTTAATAGACTTTAAATGTTTCTCTAATGGATTAACTTTTCAGACTCCCTGATTATTCTCTGGAAGTTCAACAGTTCTCCTGATCAGAATGGAAATGATATATTTATGGACACTGAAGGTATTGAAAGCAAGGAATCCTGGACTTTTTACAAGGCCCTAAGGTAAAAATTTAATAGCCAAATTGTACAAACTCAGAGATGTACCCATAGAGTGCATTTGAAACTATATTTAGAGTTGTCTTTTCCTGTAAACAAAGACAAGGAAAATGACTGAATGCAAGTTGCATTGACAGTAGGGAGCTATTCAAAGTGGCTTCTAATTTTAACGAACTGTCAGCAGGCGTATTTTACAGAATGCCGAATGACGCAGAAGTTTTTGATCAATGTTAAGAAGCAGTGAATCAAGTTCCCATTTGAGTCGTTAAACCTGGCAAATTGAACTGGAACTTTATTCGTCTCTAAACCCTTTTCATTGTCAAACTTATCACAAGAATTCCTGACAGTTTCCCTTTAACCCATTCGCCCCTGAACCGCCCGTAACCGCCCGTGCGGATCCAGGTCCTTTCTACCCTTTGTGACGTCATCAGTTTTAACGGTCAAGGACAACTTTCTTCGCACACGTGTGCAGAGTGAAGAGATCTTTCAAACCATACCAGAATGAGCACAATTCAGTCAAGGACACCGGAGAAAGAAGCAAAAAACCATGTGACAAGGACCTGAAAATCTCCATGAAAATCTTGTTCCATTACCCACCTACCTTTCCTTTCACCTAATCCTAAGATCCTAAAAGCTTTCCTAAAAACTCTTCCCACCAAAATGAAGCCTACTAAATGCCCAGCAAGAGGAAAAAAAAATGAGGCAAGAAAAGCGAAAAAAGAAGGGAGGAGAGAAAGCGAAAAGTAAAAGTCAAGACTGCTGTGTCACTTTTAAACCCAAAAACTATGTCGAAATTTTGCTTTCTGCGCATGCCCGAACTTCGCAAGCTGATATTTTGCATCTGGATCAGAAGGCCGCCAAGTGTACGACCTGTAAACCGGTTTGTGGTAAGTTTTAGCTCTTTATAGCACGACAGTGACCAGAAAACCACTTGACTAGCTTCAAAACGCGTTTTTCGGCAAAATCTCCAGGAGCGAATGGGTTAATGTATTTTAAAATATTATTTTAAGAATGTTTTTATCACAAATCTCTTGTTTTATTAACTGTAATGCAGGGGTCACATAGAGGATGTTTATGATCTATCCTGGTCTTCAGATGGTACCAATCTGATATCTGGATCAATAGACAACAGTGCCATTATCTGGGACATCGTGAAAGGTATATATGCATATTCCATAATTATGACTCCACATGGTAGTGCTGAGTTCAATAAAATTACTGTGGAGTGTGGAGGAGTTGGGGAGGAGAGGAAGCCACATTTTCAGTGCTCTAAGAGTTGGAAGTATAAATTTAGTTTTAAAAGTTGCAAAAAAAACTTTTTATGTTTTGGGCATGACCACTATTTTCAAAAAAAGATGCAGACAAAACTAGTGAATTATTAAGAATAACTTAATACAAAAATAAATAACTTTTTTGTTGATTTTATTCAGGGCAAAAACTTATGATCTTGAAGGATCACAAACATTATGTACAGGGAGTTTGCTGGGATCCACTTAGTCAATTTGTGGTAACAAATTCCAGTGACAGGTAATTTGCTGTTAGCCATGTTAAATTTTTACTATTAACTTTCTATTCCCCCCTTCCCTCCTCAGTCAGTCCCTCATTTCTGTGATTCAGAGGAAAAAAACTTCTAGATAGGTTCTTTTAGAATGTTGAAATATTTCGAGAACATTAATTATTAATATCATATACATGGTAAAAGCAATAAATATTTTCTTTAATCATGTATTTGTATACCGAAAAATTCCGAAAATAAGCCGCGGGGCTTATATTTTTCAACAGCCCTTTTCGAGGGGCTTATTTTTGGAGGGGCTTACTTAGGGAATGTTAAAGAAATGTATTAAAAGCTCATTGGCAGCAAATGTTTCCAAGGACATACATTAATTTATTTTCTGTTTTGCAGGAGCTGTAGATTGTACAATCCAAATTCTTATCGCTGCTGTTATAACATTAATAAGCTGATCTTGAATAACTCTCAAAAGGCAACAGAAATTGGAGAGGTATGTTGTGTATTAATAATTTGTTTCATTATTATTTGATATACAATACTTTTCAGTGACATACATTGTATTTTGAAGAGTGCAGAAAAATTGCCAAAAGCTGAATGACTCTTAAGTTTCGTGATGTATAGTATAGGGTTAGGAAACTGGGTATATCAAGTTCCAGTTCAGTTCACCCTGTACAGTGACTCTAACTGGATGTAAGTCCCTAAGAAGCCATAAATAAGGTGTTCAGCAAAATACAGTTGAATTTGCCACATATAAATGTCCTTTCCAGGATTTACATTCCTTTATTTTTGCAGTCTGTAGAAAACCTACTCTATAAATGCATATCCTTGACAAGGCATTGTCTACAATCTATCCTGTCTGCAGCATAATATGCTTTTATATTATAAAAAGCAAACATGCATTGCTCTAATACACAGCAAGTACTACAATAACTCCTTTGCTCTTTATTTAGTCCATCAAGCAAGGAAAAATGTTTCATGACGAGACCATGCCATCCTTTTTTCGAAGACCAAGTTTTTCTCCAGATGGCTCTTTGCTGTTAGTCCCAGGTAGGAAATTAAAAGACACAAAGAACCAACAAAAATATTTTTACGTTACTAAGGACACTTCAGTAAAAGCCTACAAATCCTATCCCGTTGCTAAAAAATTTCATTCACCTTTTCCATTGCACCACATTTGTGTATGGAATCTATGTACTTACCATGTACATTGTTATTTTATTACTTGTCTTGATTGGCAGCTGGACGCATTGACGTTGGCGACCAGGTGGTCAATACAACTTATGTCTTCACACGAGCATCACCAAACAAGTGAGTTAAAGTTGTTTCACTGCATTTATTCTCGATTCGCACAGGAATCAAGAATCGCGAATCGAGTCGAGAATCGAGACTCGCAACGGACTGTCAACTTACTTTTAAACGGTAATGTAGCTGCTTGTGTAGTCAACAAGACACCAAAAGGTTTAAATCATGTGCCTCCATACCAATGGGTGTCTCAAATGGCAGGTAAAAAAACCATAGGTCACTGGTCAGAGCTGTATTGATAAATATGACTGAAATAACCACTTTCCCCTTAAGCTAAAACTCTATTTCAGATGGTGATTAGAGCTAGGAGACACTTTCAGTCAATTAATGTACAGTGACTTGTACTCTAACTTGCACTTGTGACATTTGACCTGCATTTTTTCACCTGCTGGTCTCGAAAACTAAGACCTAAGTCTTCGAAAGTTAAGACCTGAATATACCTGTGTTGTTGTAAGGAGATGCTGTTTCCACGCAGTTTTGAATGAGAGAGACTTAGTTTTGAAGTCTTAGTGAAGTTTTCAACGTCTTAGATTTCAAGGTATTTATAATTTTCCAGGTTATTTGTGTGGGTTGGAGTGGTTACATCAGGTGTAGACAATGCTAGAAATGTTATGACATCTCACAGGCAACTCCCTAGTTTTATTTTAAAGTGTTCATTTATTCTAGTACTAGGTCATTTTTGGCACTTTTGGTTTTAAGGTGTTAGTTTTTTAGTTCATCGGTCTTAGTTTTTCATACAACCCATACAAAAATTAATCAGATCTTGTTTACTGTGGGTAATGTCGACCGAGATATCGGTCGATATAGCGGTCGACACTCGGTCGATAGTCGGTCGACACTCGGTCGACACTCGGTCGATAGTCGGTCGACACTCGGTCGATAGTCAGTCGACACTCGGTCGATACTCGGTCGACAGTTGGTCGACATAGCGGTCGATAGTCGGTCGACACTTAGCATTTCCTACATTTTTTGGCTTGGAAAACAAGAAATTAGAAAGCAGTTTCTAGCTTGGACCTAACTGTTTTTTTAAATTGTGCTTCTGCTTTTTTAATTTCAAACTTCAATGTACTTAGCCAAAATTACGGAATAATAGCTATTAGTCATTTATCTAGCCTTTTCTTTTAATTCATGTGGACGGGATTTAGCCTATCTGTATCGATGCCCACCACCTTTTCGCAGACGTTTCCTCCCCTGGTGTTTTTTTAGGGGTGGGGGTGTCTCGCTACGCGTAGCCGGCTAGAATTGAATCATGAAGAAGTCCGCTAAGTGAGAATGATAGGCCTTCATGCAGCTTCTTGTTATGTGATTTATTCCCACCGTGTAAGGCCTATATCTGGCTGATTTTTCCTATGCCGAGAATTTTTCAACCGACTCAGAATTACATTGATGAAAAAATGTATTTACCGTTCATTTTTTTTTAAACTTGTTTTTCCTTAACAAGTTAAGATAATATTAATGTTAACGCGGCGCATCTGTTTTCCTTTTATTGGATGACCAAAAGTGACTTACCATTCAATATTAATTTCTGTATACGCATGGTCGTCTTTATTTTGAACACAATATAAATATGAAGCAAAAGGACAGGATAATGTAATGAGAACGTATGAGTATTTTCCTTGCTGTAAATTGAAATCATTCCCACAATAAATGAATGTGTTCAGTCTGCTGGATATTTTTGTCACCTTCCTCGGCGCATTATCAGCGCATTTTATCAATAAGTGATTGTTAAACAAAGGACTGTTCCCGTCTTCAATGCAGAAATATATAGGTTTAATTTGTGGTCTCTGCACAAACGAGAACTTGGCGTGATGAAGCAGGTCAAAGCTCTATAATAAAAGATGTGTATTCCTCGCTCTTAAAGCATGTCATCAACTGCCTTTTCCTATTCATTATTCGTCCACTTCGGGACTGCGGGAGCAGTCATTTCACTCGTCCTTATTAAGTATTCTTCGACTGCGGGACCACAGGAGCAGCAGATTCAACTTAGGCTGAGACAGGTTCTGTTTAACAGCTAAAACTCAGACGATCGGAGATGATAAAAACTGGAAAAAAAATGGTTATCATGTCCTTAGTTCCCAGTGCTCTTCGGTTCCCTTCATAGAGCAATCGCGCCTCGCACTGCCACATGTTCCCCCATCGCATGATAACAGTAATTAATGACGTCTTTGCTAAAAAAAAAAAGCCATTGGACTCACCTGATAAATTAACACATGACTGATATTCGAACGACAGTTGACCGATATACCACCGACAGTTGACCGATATACCACCGACAGTTGACTGATATACCACCGATAGTTGACCGATATATCACCAACATATGACCGATAGTAAGTCGAGGTGCGTCGTTGAAATATCGACCGATACTTGGCCGATAGTCTATCTCACTATCGACCGACTATCGACCAACCATCGACCGACTGTCGACCGACTATCGACCGACTGTCGACCGCTATATCGACCGCTATGTCGACCGATATCTCAGTCGACATTACCCACAGTAAACAAGATCCAATTAATCTACTTCAGCTTATTGTCAGGTGGTGTTCATAATGGCATGATGAAAATTATCACTACATTGTAGTTTCTTAACTTCTTGCACCCTTGATTTTTTTTAGCCTCCAGCTGATAATTCAAGCCAAAACTGACATCCAAACCCAGTAATATAGCTTTTAACTTACACCTGTATCACCCCTATTTTTAAACCTCCCATTGATATGAACCAATTCCCTTTTCGCAGGAGGTTTAACAGACCATGATTCTACTATATTTCTGAAATTTGTTTTGCAGACCAGTCCTTTACCTTCCCAGTCCCCAGAAGGCCTCTGTAGCAGTGCGCTTTTGTCCCATTCTGTTCAAACTTAGACAAGAGCAAGGTACATGTTATGTTGAAGCTGTTGTCTTTAAATTCTATTAAGGTCTGTTGGCAAATTTGTAACATTTACAATTTTCTTCAGGTAGCTTTCTATTACAACTATTTCTGCTAATAATATTTATTTAAAAGAGAAAAAGGATGAGAGTGTGCACCATAATTGTTAAAATTATGTTTACAATAGAGATGAATTAGAGGAAAATCTCACAAATTGTGGAAAAAATCAATTCAGCTCAGCTCAGTAGCTGTACATGTAGGATGCTATTGCTTTGTTTCCTTATCATGCAAGAAACCTTGCTGATCGTGAACGTCATCTCCCTAATTCACCCACGTGTATAAATATGGGCACCAGCCACGTACTGCTAGAGGTAACCCAGGGTTTGCAAATTGTATTGATGAGTGGAGTCACTGTGACTTCTGCTTCACAAATTTTGGAGTCATTTTGGAATATTTGGAGTCAAGTATCACAACGAAAAAAGCCATTTTCAGGCTTTCCAGCACGTGGTCCTGGCATGTTTACACTATCGTGAGGGATCGAGGGATACACAAAGTAGCTGTGTCGGTCCGCTGACCTGGAAAGCTAAAATCCACGATGGCGGTCATCGAGTAAACTTTTATCGTAATTTACCCTCTTCCTGTTTTGTCGTGCAGCATAATTCTTTAATTTTGATGATTTAATTAAGGTTTACAACGTTTACAATTAACATAAATTGTATTTGTTGCGAAAAAGATAAGGACAAAACTGTGTTTGTTACCGAAAATTTCTGGAGTCGAAGTGGTTCCCTGTTTATTACCGAAAATTTCTGGAGCCGAAGTGACTCCCTCCGTAACCTCAGTGGAGTCATATGAACAATTTTGGCATAAAATACACCAAATTTGGCATATTTGCGAACCCTGGGTAACCTTTCGATGGTCTTGCACCTAGGGGGTAGAAACAAAATTCTATATAGGTTGTGAACCTGTGGGCTTACAGGTGTATGTGTATACACGTACCTTTACATTTATTGATTATATACACAACACATACATTATAACATAAGTTGTAACTTTACTTATTTCTTTCCTCAAGTAGCAGCTACTCCTGTCAAGAGTCTGTTCAAGTAAGCTAGTTTCTTGTCTTACTACCTTTAACTCTAATAATATTGCAGGTGTGAATGGGTCAACGTTAATATTAACGTATATTAATGTTGACCCATTGACACCTCAGCTCAGGCCAAGTCATAACAACTTGTGAGGAACCACATCTCTTGTGCATCTTGTAACATCATCAGTCTCAATACAGTCAAATCTCCCATAAGTGACCACCCAAAATGCAAAGACCTGGCGGTCACTTACTGGAGGTGGTCGTTTACGAGAGGTTCCAGTATGAGGCTTTGACTGAGAACATTTTTGCTGTTTTCGGAAGGCAGTTGCCTACGCAAGGTTTGACTGTACTCTTCTGCTGCGCATATACCCCAAATGTGTGTGATCCAGTCAAACAGGCCAGAGGCTAGACCAATGCAACCGATGATGGACCCTATCGAACTTTGACTGGAAAATTCGTGTGAAATAATCATCAACCCGCTTAATCTCCTCCAGTTAACCTTTTATTAACCATGCACAAGCTACGTATACATGCCTTGCACCCTGAGGTTTCATTTTTCAGTTTGAGGATTATTGAGGAGGTTTAGGGTACTGGCTTCATGGAGATAAGATTAGCAATACAATAATAATCTGTCATTACTTGAACAAATTCCAACTTCATTTTGTCCATTCCTTAAATCCTACTGTGTAAGAAAAATAAAAAAAAACATACTTGGGTATCATCTGCGTGGCAGGCGTTCGAAAGGGAAGGGAAAGGGAATTAGGGCGCGAGACCACACGCGAGGGAGGAGCGCGCCTAAATTCCCCCCTTCCTCTTCCCCTTTTAACGCCTGCCACGCAGGCTAACACCATTATTGCTGTAATTGCTAATGTACTGAATTGACATGAAATAAAACATTATTGCAGATTGCCATACCGCATGGTGTTTGCAGTGGCAACTTTGGATTCAGTCCTGTTGTATGACACTCAACAAACAGCTCCGTTTGGCTTTGTTGGAAGCATTCATTATGCAGCACTCACAGATGTTACTTGGTACATTAATTAACTGATAACTCACTCAATGGTTTAATAAGAAGCACATACAAGTGTGCAGAAACATCTATTTCTAATCAAATCATCTCCTTGGTTGTCTTGATTTTCACCTGACTCGAACAATATGATAATAATTAAAATATTGTCTCTTTGATATCATGGCATTTCAAGAATTTAGGGCTGGTGTTCTTCAAGCATTAGTGACGATTTACTGAGAAGCATTTTTAGTAACACTTGCTTGTCATTGCTGCTGATTACAATTCTCACATATCTGGGCTTCCAGGCAGCTCATTTGTCTTACCAGACAATTTTCACATCAAAGATTACAATATCATGTGGTATTTATCTGATGATGATGATTGATCGTAACAAATGCTTACTAGAATGGTCCTAATGACCACTGAAACTCACAGCTTAAAAGAGTTATGCTTTCTTCAAGTAAGTTGCTAAAACCTCTACCCCTGTGTAAGTGTTAGGTTTTATTCCCGTTCAGAGTTCAGGGTTTTTTCTGTCCAAACTGAGGTGAAGAGGATTTGCATAACATATTTTTTGTTTCCTGTTGTATTTAGGTCCAGTGATGGAAGCACACTTGTTGTGTCCTCCTCTGATGGATACTGTTCTATTGTTCAATTCAATCAAGGAGAGCTTGGCGAACCTTACGACCTGTCAATCAAACAAGTGTTGGATAGAAGCATCTCACCACTAACGCTAAATGGTGATAGTTCAGGTTGGTGTCCCTGTTGGTTGATATTGTATTATCACCTTATACTGATGTTACACGGGACGATTTGCAACGACGATCTTTAGCGCAGCACAGCATTACAACATTGTTGTGACATTGTTTCGAATGATTGCAACATTGTTCCAACATTGCCACGCTGTGTTGCGCTCAAAATCGTCCTTACGAATCGTCTCGTGTAAAATCACCTTTAGACAAGAAATTATATTCCCATTTTTATCTCACTAACCAAGTGTTTTTCCTCTCTCCGCCCCAATCTCTCCTTCTTTTTTCACTACTGTAATTCATCAGACTATCTTTGCATGAGGACCTTAAGCAAAGATGATGGCCATGGCAACGAGAATGGCTAAAAAGGAATAGGTTTGGATTGGCAAAACAAAAATCTGCACGGGTATAATGAATGCTTTTTCGTACATTTCTTTGCCGTCACTTCACGACTACGACCTGAAACGTCCTAATTTCAAGTCTTATTGAGGACGTGAACACTTAGATACAGTCCTTTAGACTGCAACTCTTGAAAAAATCGCCAACATTTGACAACTTTAAACAGTTGGAATAGGAGCGATGAAGTTTGAACAGCGCGAATTCCGCACTTTTTGGGTTACGTTTTGGCTGCCGTGTTTCGCGATTTCAGTAAGCAAATGTGAAAAAGGGCATTATTGAATTTCGCGATTCAAGCGTTCTCAACTTCGTTATATTTCTCAAAATAGTCAGAACTTTTTCAAATTTCCAGAAAAACTGGAGCAAGCGCTGAAACTATGGTTAAAAAGTACCTTGTAAGAATGTTATTGTTATTCCACAACAGAAGATACAAAATGGAACTTACCACCAAAACCAGTTAAAAGTTCATCTGTGTATTAGTCGGCACATCTCCTGTATACCGTAAAATTCCGAAAATAAGCCCCTCCAAATCGTAACGCAAAAAACCCTTCGTTAAATCGCCCCTCCGAATATAAGCCCCCTGGGGGGCTTGTACTTGGAATTTGCCCTCGAATACAAAGTAAAACGAAGCAAAAATGGTAAATTTCCTTCCCACTGCAAGCTACCCCTATCGATTTTGAAACGCAAATTTCCCTCCGTACATAAGCCCCTCTGGATATAAGCCCCTCAAAAAGGGCCTTTGAAAAATATAAGCCCCGGGGCTTACTTTGGGAATTTTACGGTATACGGTTATTTCTGTTTTTTCCCTGTGGTTTGCATTTTTTTCATGGGTATTAAAATTTCTCGTGTTTAAATGTTGCGAAGACTTCTATTCACGGTTGTTTAATTTGGTGATTTCTCTTACAATCGCGAAAAAACGCGAGATTTAAGCCCCGCGAAAATAACTACCAACGAGGTAAATTTTTCCTGTGTGTGAGCAAAAATTATTGTAACTAAGGCCTAGGCCAAACGTCGTTCATGAAAAAGTTCGACTTCTGGCTCAGTTAAATTCGTCTGAATGAGTTTGGATCGTCGAAACGATTTTCTATCCGTCTGAAGCAGACAGATCAAAACGCCTTACGATCCTCTCCGGGACAAACCATTTCATGAGACGAACTGAACTAATAACTTAAACATTTTTATGATAACGTATATTTAGTACCGTTCGGGAGAAAATTTATTACTGATCTGATTCAGTTGATTGGTTCAACGCGTTCTAAGTTCGACGTCTGACCCAACAGAGAAAGAAAAATTATTTACGGCTCTGCTGCAACGGCAATCCCATAACTTGGCTTAATCAAGAGTGTTTTCACATGCATTGCTTAACACTTTGTTCAATTGCTTTACAGGCAAAATGGGCAATAAACAGACATCAGCCCTTATAGATAAATGTAACGCTGAGGAAAAGGTGGATAAATCTTCTCAACCCACGCACAAGAAAGATCCAGCTGGCAGGATTGAAATGTTTGCGGTCCCAATGAAAATCACACCAACCAAGCCGCTTACTAAAGCGACACCGAAAAGGATAACCTTGACACCGGTTCCTGTTGCTTCCAATCCAACTAACCAGGTCACTGTACAGCAAGTTACAAGTACAGCGCCAAACTCTGCTAAAAATACAGCATTTATGCCAGCTCAGAAACAAGTTAACGTGGCCAGTTCTCCAGTGAATGCTATGGGGAGTCAGATCACACCGAGACGTGTTCCCCTAATGCCAGCCAGTAACAGTCAGCCTAAGAAGAATAATACATGTGGGCAGGTTACTCCAAGACGAGTACCTCTTACACCCGTGGACACTGCCACACCCAGCACAAGTTCACCATCCGCTAATGGACTCAAACAGGGACAAAATACTTCAGAGAGCAAAGATTCTGCCCGTAGTGTTCCCCAAGTCTCAACGTCGTCTTCAGGTCATTCTGGAGCAGAAAACAAAAGCATTGAGCGTCAAACCTCATCTGGCAGTGCACCGAGGAGGATAAAATTAACAACGCTGTCCACCTTTGTTGAAGGATCTACCCCTCCAAGGAAGTCATCAGAAATCAATCCAAAGTCCAGTGAAACAGTAGGGTTCATTAGCAAAGAAGCAGAACCACAATGTACCCTCAAATCTACACCTGACTCGACAATCAACAGCTCTCAGCCGAGAAGGATAGCACTGACCTCTGTTCCACTGGAAGACAAAACAAAGTTGTCCGGTTTGAAGAAATCTGAAACATCTGTTGTTGACAAGGAAAACCACTCAAGTAATCAGGTTCCAAGTAATAAACCGCTTCAACCAAGAAGAGTGGAATTTACGACTCTCACATCTCCCGCAAAGAAGAAGAGTACGGTGGAAGGTTTACCAAACAGCTCTAAAACATCTCCGCGGCAAGACGCGCCAAGACGGCATATACCACTAGAACCCACAATAATTGTCTTAGACGATAACAACTGAAAAGATTGAAACATCGCTTTGATAACGATGAAAAACCTTCTACTGGAACTCAAACCACCGGATTTTAAAAAATGGACTTTAGAGTTATTTTAGACGTACATAACGCCAAGGACACTCGTGGCCGAGAAATTCATTGTGTGGTTCTTTTAGTTAACTGCCGACACTTTGACTTTGAGTTGATACAGATGGTGTAGTGTTATAAGAAAATAAGACGAAAAAATATCGACGTGTTGTCCCAGGTAAAATTTTGCACAATTATTGATTGATAAAAAGTAATCATTTGTGAGTCAAAATCCAGCGCTTTTCACTTTATTTATATTTAATTAGCGGCATTCAGCCCATTTAAAGATAAGACCGGATTAGTATAAATATGTGTAAAACGTTGCATTTTTCAGTTTGTTGCTTCCACTTACGATAATTTCACTCTTCTATGGCTTTGTCTAATAAAAGTTTGACGTGACAAACGCCAGGATAAAAAATGACGTGGATTTTCCAAAAATAGAAAATGATAATAGTTTCCTCTTGAATATTAGAGGCCCATTTGTTTTGAAAATCGCGCTTTTGAGAGTGGCGCCCTTCAGGAAAATTTGTAGAATACTATACCTTAGTCTTGAATAAATGGCACAACACAGTCTTTCTCTGTAAAAATAAATGGAATTTACAACAACCTTTTCAGTGATCAATTGTTTCCCCAACGAGCAGCCTCAAGTAGCAGCTTGTATTGAAGACCTCGAGTTGCATTTGGGCTGCGACACCTGTTGATTGAGTTATTTTACAATGGTATGCCTGTGGCTCGGACGGAGGGCGGCCAAAACCCTTTTGGGGGATCACTTTCTTGGGGAGGTTGGAAACTAAGCTTAAAATAGTAACCAAGCCTTCCCATTTTGTTTCCAGTCCTTTCTGAGCCGTTTCAGCTGGCCGCCAAGGTTCTCCTTCACGGCAGTAACGCGGACGGGTGGACGGACGGTCACGTGACTACCAAAATTTATCCGATGCGTAGGTAACCAAATTTTCTTACCCCATGGTGCTTCGCAGCGCGCGCTTCGCTTATGTTGATAACTTCGACAAAAGTCTGATTTCTCGCAGGAAAAATTCACTGATTTCTATTCGATACTTGAAGCGGCCCAAACTGTCATGGCAATTTCAATTTGCTCAACCAGGTCCGTGGAGGGTACAACTTTCCACCTCAAAATTTCCTTGCATATTAAATTAGCATTGTTTCTTGTTTTTCTAATTTTTCTTTCTTTTCCACTTCACCCACCCGTCTCGATTAGCTTAAGCTAACTGCGGGTTGCGTCATATATATATTTTTGTAAAAAAGCAGCTTTTTTATGTAAAAAAGCTGCTTTTTTACAAATTAACCGGTTGTAAAAATACTGCATTTTTAAAAAAATATATTTTTGTAAAAAAGCTGTTTTTTTACAACAGATATTTCTGTAAGAAAGCTGCCTTTTTATGTAAAAATCCTGCTATTTTACACATATAAATTTTCGTGTAAAAAGAGCTTCATGCTCTTCCTTTAGACCATTTGACAAACCCATTTATCGAAGACAGGCTATTTTCTATAGCATGGCTCGAACTTTATTGAACTGTAGTTTTCGTGCGCGTCTCAAACCGTACATTATAAGAAATCCGGCTAGTTACGTTCACGTTCCCGTGTCCCCTCTATTGTGGGGCTTTTGAATTCCCTTGTTAACTCGCTGACAGCGTTAAAAATTTACGTTCTTTTTATTCTTTTTATTATTTCTTCTTGTTTCCTTTGTCTTCAAAGGCTGAACAACTTTAATATCAATACAAGCTGAATTCGCCAGCAACATTTAGTGTATGACCATTTTTTTACAAAATATATTTTTGTAAAAAAGCTGTCCTTTTACAAATATATATCAGTGTAAAAAAACAGCTTTCTTACGGTACCGTTTTTTTACACAACATATATATATATATATATATATATATATATATATATATATATATGTTGCTGTGTTAACCGTTGTGATGCTTCAGTGTGTATGGAGTTTAACTGATGAGTGGATCAACTTTTTGTTGGTCTACGAAACAGACCTGTATTAAATTCCATATGTGCTCATATTGAGTAGTCTATTTACTATTATATATATATGTATATATATATATTCGATCTACAGTTGTTCGTTGAGTCTGTTTGATGTGTGCAATAACACGGTTGTGGTTGTTGTTGTGAATTAGTCGGATTCTTTCTATCAATAACTTTCTTCCGGATCAGTAAGTAAGTAAGAGACTTTATTTTATGAGGGTGACACGTAACAGTAACTGAACATTACTGATCAACTTGTGGCCCTCTAAAAATATAAAAATACAATTTATAAAAACTACTTTAGCAATAAATTATTATCTACGATAAAAAATTTCTAGAATTCAATAAAAATAAAAAACTTTTAAAAACGAAGAGCATGCAATATCCATCTATTGTCATTAATTTAGGTCAAACGATCCCTTTGACTTCTGAGAATTTAAAACTATTTTCCATAATTCAGCCTTAAAGAATTTCAAAGACCTCCTTGTTTTCAGTGATTGGGGTAGATTGTTCCAGTCCTTTACAGTTCTTACAGCAAAAGTGCGTCCTCCCTCTGAGATGTTCCTGTGAAGAGGGCGCAATAAGTTCACATTACAATTTCTCGTGTTTCTTGAGTGAACATCGGAGTTTTTTCTCAGAGATGCGCTTAAATAGTCGGGTAACTCACTACCATTTATCCTTTTAAACGCCAGTTCACAAAGTGTAATATACACTTCATTATAAAGGGGGATCCAGCTTAGGTTGTTAAATAATGTTACTGTTCGACTTGTGCGTTGTGCTTCAAGAATAATATGTGCGGCCCGTTTCTGCATAAGGAGAACTCTCTCAAGTACCTCTTTGTTGCACGAAGTCTATGCTGTACTTGCATACATCAAAAGAGGTTTAATTACTGCGTTAAAATAGATTATCCTCTGGTTTTTCTTTAAGTAGGGGCTAATATGGCGTAAAAGGCCGAGTCGCTTCAGTTTATGGTTTGCGACTTGTTCAATTTCTGCGTTATCCGTTTTACTCCCAGTTTTCCTGGATCTTGGACCATTCGCTTTCGTAGGCGCTTCCCAGTTACCAACAAAGCTTTAGTTTTTTGCATATTCAGATACATTTTGTTCTCTCTAGCCCATCTCTCTACTTCATTCAGGTCCTGTGACAAAGATTGATTTAGTAATGGCAGGGTTTTCCAGTTTGAACTCAACGATAAGGTGGTGTTATCTGCATAAATGTCCATAGTTGACTTTTGGACGTGGAGGGGCATATCGTTGACGAAGAAAAGGAAGAGCACCGGACCTAGGATTGACCCTTGGGGTAAACCTTGCTATACCGTCAACTGTTTAGACGTAGTTTTCCCTAACGAAATAAACTGCTTCCTCACAGACAAGTAGGATTTGAACCAGGCAACGGAAGAAAGGGTAGCACCGTAGATGGACAACTCTTTTAAAAGAAGTTCATTATCGATCACATCGAAAGCTTTTCGGAAATCTATAAAAACCAGACCGCTTACTTCGTCATCGTCCATGTTTTTAAGAATCTGATCCGTGAGTCTAATCAAGACTGTTTCAGTTGAGTGTCCTGACCTAAAGGCTGATTGCAGCTCGTATAATAAGTTATTATCGCGTAAGAAAACAGATAGAGAGCTGGACACATGCCTTTCGAGAATTTTCGAAAGGACAGGTAAAACCGATATGGGGCGATAATTGTTGATATCATTTCGTGCTCCACCTTTGTGCAGCGGTGTGACTTTAGCTATTTTCCAGTGGTTACGAAAACTGTTTGTCGATATTGAAAGATAAAGTAATTTGCGTAAAGGATTTGCAAACACCGGTGCAATTTTCTTGAGTACACCTACGCTTAGGCCATCGTACCCAGAGGCCTTGTTACTAGATATTTTATATATATAATGGCAATGGTTTACTTAATCGTTAATAGAGGAATGTTGTAAACCGTATCTACGTTTAATCTTGAGTGAACAAAGTTTTTCAGCTTTGTGCTAGTAGTGAACATCGCCTAACTAGGTCCTAACCAATCAGAGCGCGAGAAAGACAATGGGCTATTGTCTTTTTAGGTCACGTGCCTCATTAGCATAGGGTACGTCATCAATTTGTTCACGTGACCCAATTCGACCAATCAGAGGGCGAGAAAGGCATCACGTGACCCTGGGCCCCAGGTCCCAGAACTGGGTGGGAAAAGTGCTCGGCCGGAAGTGCAAGAAAGAAACAGCACACACAATAGTAGAGTGAAAAAAATCATATTTTTTTGTATTTAATGAAAAAAAAATCTCGAGAGTGACTTAGGTTACAAGCGGGACGTGTGCGACGTCCTGGTAACGTCACGCCCTTTATCATTTACAAATCCAGCAGGAGGTTGACTTCGTTCCCAATCCTCTCGTAACCATAGGGATAACTCGAACGGGTGGCCGCCTCCACCACGCGCTTATCAAACACCAGTCCAAAACAGCTTGACGCACGGAACCACTTGAATCTGCTTCTTTTCTAAATCTCTTCAGAAATAATGGGGCGTGACAATATTCATGGTGCAACGAGAGTCCTGTGGAGTGTCTAATTCCGATAAAATATTGTCTTTCATGGTTTAAAAATGTAAGATGGCGGATCCTCGGACTTTCAGCGTGAAACCGCGTACTTTGCAAACCACTTTGCCGGCGCGGGTCTTGTGCCCATAATTCTTGGCGCCCCCAGAAACAAACTCGGTGATGACATCTCTGTCCAATTCGTCGGTTATATCCCCCAAAAAATTCCCGATGGCGATGGAAGGTTGGCCAGGACGCCATTTGTACACCACACTGTCGGTATCATAGTAAAGGACTTGCTTTTGGAGGACATCAAGGGACTCGTAGAGTTTGAGCCGAGCGTGACACGTGGTGAAGGCCCCCAAGAAAATATTGGTCTTGGACCCTTTGACGGCATTCTCGTGGACGCTGGTGTACACGGCCTCTAGGATGTCGTCGGTACACAATTGGAGGGTGCTGATATCGAGGGCGGCATCCGAGATCAGTGTGATCAAATGAGCGGGGTCTTGGACGGTGATGGTGGTGGGTTTGTTCATACGCTCGCCGAATTTGCCTCAGAAGCTGTTCAGCATCAACTTGGCGGTGGCCCTGCGTCCGGGATTATTGGCGATGCGGGCAATCTCCAAACAGATCCCTTCCCGTTTCTGATAACTGAGAATATACTCTTGTTTCTGCTCCACCGTCTGGCATCAGCTGGGCCACCCCGCCGATTCCTGTTTCACTTTCAACCACGTGTTGACATAGTCCTTGAAGAGACCTGGCCTGTGCGGCGTTGCTCGGGGGGAAAATGCCAGACTTCGTGGATCTTGACCAGGGTGTACCCGACCCCTTTTCTGTGGCTTTGAGCAGCTCGGGGGTGCACCAGGTCCCGCGCAGCATACGGTCGGCGTCGGAATGAGGACAATACTGGGTGCGGTCCAACATGGGTTTGGTCTGCTCCTTCTGGACACAGGTGTGGCAGAGAGGAAAGGTGAGTTTTTGACCACTGCGCATGGGCAAGACAGGGTGGAACAAGCCGGCGGGGGAGAAAATATCCACGGTGGCGAGGCCAAAATACGACTCCAGGGACTGGTCGAAGGGCTGCGTGATGATCTGCAGATGACCGATAGGGTAGGGGCAGTTCTTGTTCACCCAGGGGTAGAGGGAGGCCGGAGGTGACACCCACATAGCGTATTTCCTCACCCTCCCCGGCGACAGCATGCAGGGCCACGGCACCGTTTCGCCCGCCCAAAAAGGCCTCGCGGGGTTCCAGGGGCGGTGCGAGATCGAAGGAGTTCAGAAAACTTTGCACGGTCTCATCGGTGTCGACCAAGTGGTCCCATTCGCACTCCCATAGTTCTATGACCGTGTAAGTGGCTCGGAGCAGGGCCATGCGTTTGGAGAGAGTGGCCTGATACAGTTCCTCCACGTTTCTGTCTGGCACAGCATAATGCTTGGCTTGCCTGTTGGGATAGCAGCGGGGACACCCATGATAGAGACAGCCATGAAACCCGTAGACGGTGCGAGTCAAGGGATCGTACCCATCCACGAAGTAGGAATCGACGATGGTCCGGACGGACTGTTCACCACCGTTGCGGACGTGTCGGATTCGGTCGGCACAGGCCCACTGCTTTGAGCGATTGATTGACCTTCGCGCCTCGCCAGCCACCAAGGGGTTCGACCGCGATGGTGTGGGGGGTCAAATGGTGCTTGCGCCAATACAGATTGCAGGCACTAGCTATCGTCATACACTTTTCCATAGGGTTGAAGCCAGCCTGGGATTGGAATTCTTGCTGAAAGGCTTCACATCCCGCTTTTAACAAGGCCACACCGGACTTGCAGTAGTCGATCATTTCTTGACGGAAATTAAAGGAGACATTTCGACGGACCTGGTCACTATGCTAACGGATCAGTTCCTCTCTTTTTTTGGCCATCATGCCATCGGGATCGTAAAATTCCAAATCGGGGATCCGACCCACGTACTGTTGATGATCAGGGGTGTTGAACAAATGGGGAAAAACCCCCTTCTTCAATTCTGTCAAGTTGAAGGTGCTGGGGAAAGAGGCCAGTGGCATGGGTAAGAAGCACAAAGAGTCAATGAATTTGAGGGGTCCGCTCTTGAAGGACAGGACTTTGGCTCCCACCGTCAGTTGGTCTGCCATCTCGTGTTGTTGCTGGTACAGTTCGTGCAGAATAAACATGCCGTCGAAGCCTTTAAAATTGTGAAAGACCACGAGAATCTCACGCTCCTGGTTATTTTCCGGCACATCCACGAGATCGTCCAGATCGTGCAAAAACTGCAGGGCACAATCCTCCCCCTCCAAGACATGAATGGCCTCTTCTTCCGCTGACGAGTAACACAACAAGTTGGCCACAAACACCCCTTCGGCATTCTGCATGGCTTCGAAATCTGCATAGACGAACAAAGGAGGGGGTGGCGCCACCATGCGACCTCCCCCCTCGGGCTCTTCGGTAGGTTCCTCCGTGTCCCTCTCCTCCTCGACCACGGGTTGAATATAACACTTGTGGTCATGGATCAACACCCACTCATGACACACAGGACAGTTGGCGTGCCCACACTTGTGACGTCGGTCGGGGACGACCAGGAACTTGGCTTGACACTTGAGACAGGTTTTGATCGATTGACATTGCCTGGTGACCACATGATGGCGTTTACAGTAGGCACCGTAAAACTTGCAGTGACACAACGTGCAATACTCCGTGGGCCGGGTACCGCGCGCATAATCCTGACAGTCAAAGCCGCCACACGCAGAGCAGCGAGTCCCTTGGCAGGTATGATTGGTGCGATCATTGGTGTTGAACCCCCTTTCACGGTCCACACAATAATACGAACGGTTCACGAAGGCAGGAAAGGAGGTGCAGCCGTCAAAATGATCATTGGATTTGAGTAAACGAATCTGATGAGGGGCGGTGGGTCCTTTGAAAATAAAAAAGAACGGTTTCATCCGGGTCATCACCAGCAGTTGATATTGAGAGCCCAACGCCTGTTGAAATTGGCGCAGTTCTTCGATGCCACAGGGACCCTCGTCCACCCCTGCTTGTCGATGCAGTTCCTGGGCTTGTCGTTGTTGCACCGGACGCCCACGCTTGAGATTGTCCCAGTCACGAAACCCGTCCACGCCTTGATCTTTGTGGCAGTGCGCTCGCATGGTGACAATGGCACGAGCACAGCATAAAACATCTCTGTTTTTGATGGGGATGATGCATTGTTTCTTCTTGTTTTCTCGGTCCAGGCATCGACGACCAGGGTTATATTTTTTCTACTACCTGAACCCGGGCCTGGCATGGACACAAACACGACATCCACGTGGAAACCGCGATCGGGGTTGAACGATTCATTACTGTTTAACTTGCCCGCCAACGTGGCCAACATCTCATCCAAGCGAGCGGTGCGTTGTAAAAACTCCCCCACAGTAAAATTGGCCGTGTGGTAGGCGTGGGTGAACCCCTGAGCCGTGATGGCAAAGTTGACAAAATGATGGGCGGGTCGCTGCTCTCGGTCGAGGTCAGTCTCGATGGCATGATGCAACGCTTCGGTTAAAGCCATCCCAATATTATCTCCATGGACAGGATCTCTCAATTGACGCAATTGCGCATTAAACTGCGCCCGCTCCACTACCTCGCGCCAGCAGCGTCGTCGGCCAATAGGTTGCATGGTGAATTGAAAGAGGAGATCCCGCGCGGAGCCGCCTCCCAGCTGTTCCCACCGGTCATACGCGCGGTCCAACAGGGCATCCTCGTCCTCGTCTTCATCACTAAAGTGATACAAATTATCGTCCGCCATCACCGAGGAGACAATTTTGAATTTCCTGCGCCAGACACTGGTTTTTATGGACCAAAAAAACACGTGATATCACATGATCGTCAGGAGATTGGTGAAAGGGACTCAGTGAGGGGCTTTTATAGACCAAAAAACACGTGATATCACATGATCGTCAAGAGATTACTGGAAGGGACTTAGGTGAGGGTCAGGTGAGGGGTTTGATCGACAGGAGGAAGATCAGGGGTGGACCCCCCATGGGTACCAGATTCCCTCCACCGCTCCATCCCTGGACCGAGAGTGGTGATTGGCGGATTGGACGATAGATAAAGTCGAACGCCCTAGACAGAAGTCAGTTGTGTTCGATATGCCCAACGAAAGAAAAAAATTGGAACCCAGAGAGCGCGTAAACGGGAGTGGTACCAAAAATACAAGGAGGAGATTTTGGAGCGAAAACGTGAACGACATGCTGCCCAAAGGAAGGACAAACCACAGCGAGCCAAACCACCAGCACCCACCCCAGAGCAGATTGCTAAAAGGAAAGCCCTGAACAAAGAAGCTTGCCAGCGATACCGGGCTACGCATCTGGCCCAAGTACGTTTGGTCAACCGTGACTATTACCATCGAAACCGGGACCGGTTTGTCCAACAGCAGCGAAACCGTCGAGCCTTGGCCAAGCAGACCAAGCAGAGCCCCGACACGTTCCAAAAATTACGTGCGTTGGCCGACGTGTGCTCGGCACAATGGATCGAGCTGGACCATTGATACGCCAGGAAAAAAGAAGGGGCGGGACCGAACAAAGACGTTGAAACGCCACTGACGGTATCGAGCTCGACAGTATGCGGCCGTGGACGGCATTGAGGAGGTGAGGGCCCGTAACCGTCAACGGTACCACGACCGCATCGCTCGTCTCAAGGCCACGGGCCAATACGAGGCCTTTAAACAACATAAGTGTGCGGAGGGAACGCGTCGCTACCACGCCATGTCAGCAGAGAAACGGGAGGAAGTGAAACGCAAGAACCTTGTGCTGCAAAAGGTCTGGATGGAACGCATGATCCGAGAGGGGACCTATGGGGAGTACCGGCAACGCCTGAACGCGCGGCGGCGAGAACAACTGGCCGCGAAAAAACGAGCCCTGGGCGTTGACGGGTGGAAGCAGCATCAAAAGGTTCTCTATGCAAGGCGTGCCGAGTCAGAGCGATGTAAACGATGGCAATGGCTAGACGAGCATCTGGCCCGTCCCTTTCCCCTGCCGTGGTTGCCGCTGGACTGGGCAGAGTGACAGAGGAGGAGGACACGGCGCAACGATTCGTGCGAACGCTTTAGAGCAAATGGACCAGTATTTGTAAAAAAGAAAAAACATTAAACCTGTGCATGTACAGAACTTGTCTTTTTATTGTGTGTTTTAATACAATCTTTTTACATGCCCAACTTGAGTTTAGCTTTCATGATATTTTTAACAATACGTTCCGTCAGGGTTTTGCGGCCGGGGAGTTGATCAATCTTGGCAATCATCTTGCGATCGGCAGCCCACTTGTCTTTCAGGTTCTTAGCCTTGCTATAGTCAATGTCATGGGCTTTGGCAATCCTGTCTAACCGGTTGATGCCTGGATCACCGCGGACCAGTCGTTTTTTCAAATGGGTCCCAGGTCCCATGTACTGATAGCCGGGCCAATGAAACTCCATCCCCGTCTTGTTCAAGAGCTTTTGCACATCAAATAACTTTCCCCCACGTTGCAACCGTCGTCGTCGTCGCCGTGATCGGGGCGCAGCACGGCGTCTCTCGGTCCGTCCCATCAAGGGGTTTTCCACGTTTTCCAATCCAAGGCTTTCTTGGCCAGACTTTCGGCTTTCTTTTTGGCTACGGCAGCGGCTTTCTTTCTGATTTTACGTTTGACGGCTAAGGTGGGGGTATCCCAAGGTTTCGGTGCAATATCCTCTGAAAAAGGCAACTCTTTGGCCAACTCGTCGGTGCTCACCTGGGGTGTGAACTTGAGTTTCTTTTTGGCACTGGGGGTGAAGCTGGGTCTGGGTGGTACGGGTGGTTTTCTGCCTGGTCTGGAGGGTACCCAGGCAAGGCACTTTGTTTTATACCCTGGGCCGTCTTGACCAACTGCGTCAACCACGCTTGCACGGGTCCAGCGTCGAAATCGTCCTCACCGGGTGAGGTGGCAGGGGCGCCCGTGGCGCGCACGCCACTGACCAGGGCACCAAACGGTTTACGTACTTTTTTGGTCCAATGGCGTAATTGACGCCCCATGGCTTTGAATTGAGGCCGTTTCCACGCATCGGGGGCATCACTGGCCGAGAGCACATGTTGTTTGGCGGCCAAATCCGCCGCTTTGGTCGATCGCGTGTCTTCCACCAACTCTTGTTTGTAGTTGTCTCGTAATTGTAAAAACGCCGGAGCATTGTCCACGGGCGTGCTCACCATCTCTTGCTCCATGGTGCAACTGAAGTGCTTGGTCTAACGCATGCAACGTCTATAACATCGGTAGAGTTCGGACCAGAGGTTCTCTCCTTTTTAAGCCATCATGATGGCGCGTTGTCGTTTGACCGAATGCGCGGGTTTGGCCATGGCGCGTAAACTCTGCGCATGGGGTTTGAGCAACGTAATCGTGTGTCGAGAGCGGGGCACGGTGCCACGGATCGTGTTCATGACCAATTCACTGATGGCATTGATCTGATCGGCATTGGCCATCCGTAACAATTCTTGTCGTTTATGTTGATTCGCTTCTTGTGAGACGCTTTTCAAAAACGGCGCTTGACGTTCCATGCGCCACTCCATGATGAATCTTGAGTTCAGGCAACGACCAAGGTCTATTTATTGTAAAAATGGCTCCACACCGGCCACACAGTTCGCCATGATAATGCTTTTGCATGCGATCTCGACACCGTGGACACAGGGTCGCTTCATACCGTTCGTCCCAATCCAGTGCAAAGGTGACCGCTTTTCTTTTAGGTCTGGATCTCAAAGTTGGTGAGTCCGCCGTTGGCATTTCTTGAGCGCCCAAGGCGAGAGAGCCATCGCCAACAGGGGTAGCACGCCTCCACGTTGCAATCCACGTCGCCTCCGTCGTATTCGGGGGACATAACGATGTCAGCGTCCATTGGGTTCACGGACCATCGTCCAACTAACACTTGTCCAGGCCGACGAAGGTATACGTTTTCACATGATGCAAGATAGATAGATAGATAGATAATCTTTATTTATCCACGGCACAAAATTCGTCAGCTTTAAAAATGCCTTATACTAATATAATAAAAATATTTAAATAAAAAAGCTGCTTTCCACGAATGCCGTGCCTTACAGTTCTTTGAGTAATCGTTTAAATTGCCCAAGGGACTCTGCTTCCCCTAAGTTACAAGGAAGACTGTTCCCGAGAATGGCGCCACTATAGCTGAAGCTGTTTTTGTAATAGTTTGTGCGCGGTAATGGAACATTGAGTTTATTTTCAGAGTCCCTTAGGTTATATGCGACTTCTCGCCTTTCAAATTTAGAACGAAGGTAGTTTGGAGCCAACCCGTGCAACAGTTAAACGATTCACCCCCGTAGGATTTGCGTTTGCCTTGTTCCTCTTCTCGTCGGCGTTTTTTGGCGATTTTGATGGCTCGCTTGGTTTGATGTTCCCCAAGGCTTTGGTGATCCCATAGCCGGCTTTGCCTATCCCCGCAATCAGGCCAGGCGAGACACCCCCACTTGACCGTACGTTATGCCCCGTTGTCGTTTGGCGGTCCTGGAACGTCTAGAAGCAGCTCGCTTGCGTTTCCGTCTGGTGCCATGATTCATCATCTGATAGCCGCGCAAAACGAGTCTCTTTTTTATAACCTACTGTAGCAGCCGCAGAGCAGCCAACGGAGGCAAACCCCTTCGACCTAACATTTGCTGGACCTATCGTTTATTGGCCGCCCATTGCGCCGCACTGATTTTGCCCTCTCGTTTCTTGCGCGTGGCCGCTTCGATGGCTTTTTTGGTGCGGTATCCGGTGGCGCCACTGACGGTTCCAGGCGCGGCTGCCTTGGCGCCCGCGATGATGGCGGGAATGAGGAACGCGGGGAGAATACCCCCTCGTTGCATTCGGCGTCGTTTTTGTCGTCCTGGGCCACACTACATGATGTTTTTTTTTGTTCTGAAATGACCCTAGCGATCGTGCCTTGGTGTCTTTTTATATCCTTCCTCGAGTCCGTCCACGCGTTCGGCCACGGCCGCGGCCACGTCCTCGGCGTGGTGGTGTAGGGGGTGGACTTGGACTGGAGGTTTGAGTGGAGGTGCGGCACACCGAGGGTCGCCCTCTCCCTTCTTCGTAGACCGTGTTCACGGTATTGGTATGCGTGATGTTTCGAATACGTCTGCCACGAGCACGTTGTTGCGCATCCTCATTCAGCAAATCCAACCGTCGCCGTAATCCCCTCCGTCGATCCTCATTGTCATCATCGCCATCCTCATCGGACGGTGGAGGTGACGGGGGGTGAAGGCGCGGCGGGAGGTCGTCGCGGTTGTTTGGCCGCGATTCTGGGACCTTCCCTGGGGGTCGTCACCGTCGAGGTCGTGGTGGTGGTCCCTGCGCCTGCACGTTGACTGGCGGGGACGGTGGGTCTGTTCGCTGGAGCGGTGGTGGTGGTGGCGGTGGTGACAGGACGTGTTCTCGTAGACGTGACGGGTCGCGGTTGGCTGGGGGTGGTGGTCGTGGTGGGCGTCGGGGCAGTGCCCGTGCCTGCCACAGGCGGTAGACTGAACAGATTCAACGCATCGTCCACATTGACCGGTTAGGAAATGTTAAAATCCTCAATCTCTTGAATCAATTGGGCTCGATCGACCGGTCCCGTCAGTTCGGTGAGCAAGTCCGTCAAGCGGGTATCCAAAGGAGGTGGTGGCGCCGTTGGGGACCCCACGCCGGCCGGAGACAGGGTCGGGGTGTCCATGCGGGCCGCTAAGTCAGTGTGTTGTCCTCCTTCTCTTTGCCGTCTTTGACGTTCGAGTTCTCGTTGCAGCGCGTTTTCGAACGGCAGGGACATCCACGGGCAAGGTATGGACTTGCGCTGGACCTTCTCGTGGCGTTAAATGACTCCACAATCGGTAGCGATCATCCGAAGCAGGACGTCCAACATCAAATATTCAAAAGGGCGGGAGGTGACGCGTTTAAATAAGCGCAAGACTTGACGCCAACGGTCGGGAAAGGCTTGCAGTGAAATGGTTCGTATGCCCGTTTGATCCCGTGGGTTTTTGAAGGCCACAATTTAATGGGCATTGCGATTAATTGTCTTGGAGAATTTGCCAGGGGGAATAAATCTTGGGTCAAGTACAGCACGGTGATGTTGCGGTGATGGGAATCTTTGGTGAACAAATCCAACACGCGTTTGTCCTGTCCCCTTCTTCCATGAGATCGTCCAAGACCAACACACCCCCACTCGTGGGGCCAAACCATTTGGTCAAATGACTGGGGTTCGGTAACCCGCGATGAAATCGAATGCCATCCTGTTTTTGCATACGGTCGAACCGGGGTTGCCATCGGTTATACGCATACACCACGGTTTTGGGTTTGACTTGAAAACGTTCAGGTACCGTAACCATTGTTCCATCAATTCGCTCTTGCTGCTGCCTGAAGGTCCGGCCACGATCACACTGCTGGGTTGTCGGATCATCGTTCCTACTGTCGAGGATGACGTCTGTAATGACTTGTGGCCCCTTTGGCTCCCATTCGTTTATACCGTTTGTCGCGTCCCAATTTATAACCGATTTTGGCCGATTTGGCCAACACACTCATGATCCCACGTCCGTTTTGGCGAAAGCGGGGTCGTTGGGAGGAGCGTCGTCTTCTTCGTCGGCGGCTGCTGGGCATGTCGTCCAATACTCGTGGTACAATCGAGGGGATGCGAACTGAATGAGGTATTCCATACGCTCTCTTAAATACGTTTCACCCAGGGTGTCCATGTACGCTTTGAGGGACACCCAGTCTTCGTCTTGCGCCATTTGTCGGGCCAACGTCCAATGATACCCATCCCAAGCATCGATGCCGCGGACGGTGTTGACCCGTTCGATCGGGTGCAACCACCAATACAGGGTTTCTTCTAAAATAAACGCATCGATCACTCGCTGCACATCGTCGCGGGTAATCATGATGAACAATGAGGCCCCTTCCCATGGACGTGCCTTTTTTATGGCGATCAGACACCACACACGTGGACAAGTGCATCCTGTTTTTTATTTTACATCATGAACAAGGATTACAAAGCATAAAGGCCTGGCGGCTCACATTCTTTTGCCCATCGGGCCGGGCATCCACTTCATCTTGTAATTCGCGTTTAATCACGCGTTTCAAATCTTGGGCCACTTTCTGATCATTCAACACTAAATTGTCGATACTCCAACGTCCCAAAAAGTCCTGATAGGTCTGTCCTTGCGCTCGGGCTTTCAGGAAAAATAACGCATAATGGCCACACGTCTGACTATCCATGGCTTGCAGGGTAATGTCACTGCGGGTCAGGTACTTCCATTGACTCCACCACTGGTGCAGCTTCGGGTTGGTGTACACGTGCAAGGGTAGACCATAACTGTCAAAGATCTCGCACTTGTTTTGTTCGGTCCACAGCCCCAACCAATGTTGTCCCGGTTCTCCCGCGGGATCGGTGTTGACAATGTACGCCGCGCGGACGGTTTGGGTGGGTGATCGGGGTAGTTGGTCGGCTGGGTACACGCCTTGAAACACACGCCGTAATTGAGGATCGTCTAGGGCCAAGGCCCGCAACACGGTATCGCCGAGAGCCACAAGCTCCATGGCCGGCGTCTTCTGAGGTCTGAGGAGGGATCAGCCGTGGATGTTGTACTTTATACCTCCCAGATGATTGATCTCGTACACGTTTTCGTACTCGCTCCACACCAACACGGTGATGTTGTGATTGACCGCGGCGCTGAAATCATTCACCAGTCGCACATTGCCCGATTGACGGGGGTTGCGATACTGGGAGTCATCGGCTTTGCCGCTGGGCACATTGTTGAACATGAACAACGTGCAGTTGTTCCCCTGTCCCCAATCACTGGGCAACAGCATGGGAATCTTGTGTTCATTGTAGGCACCCATGGCCTGCAGGAACCGATCGTACCCCAGCAGATCTTCATAGGCTTGATCTTCGATCAGTTCCAGGGGTCTGTAAGGATATTCTTCTCCATTCAAACTCTGTCGTACTTGGGTGACCCCAAACTTTTGAAAGGCAAAGGGGTATCTTTCTAGGTCTCCATTGAAGGTATTCGAATGCAGGAACCCCACGATCACTCGATCAGGAAATCGGCCCACAAACACATTGTCTTGTTCCCACTGGGTGGTTCGGCCATCAAAGGAAAACGTGCGGATTTCACTTCGAACCACAGGGTAGCGCACAACCTGTTTTCCCAGTTGTCTTTCTTTTTGCAGTGTGACATAGACACTAGCATTCAAGGTCACTTTTCTCATCAGTAAGGTGACTTCGATGTCCTCATTATAGATGGCAGGAAATTTCTTGGCGTTCAAGGTGCCTTTGTTGGGGGTGCCCATCACGTAGACCGTGTTGGGGTTCAGGAACAGTTCAAAGTCCAGCTGGACACCAGGGACCAGACATTTACCCGTCTTGAGGGGTGGCAAATGAGGGCGGATGATGAAGGTGTGCCAATGCTCGTCCAGCAACCGGCTGGTCAACGCTCGCCATTCTGTATTTCCTTTCCAATCAGCATCGGTGGGGATATCGGAATTGGCGCCAGTCGCTCCCATTTCATCAATCACATTGAGTTGATTGACCCAGCCTTGAGGGGCTAACTTGGTGGCTCCTTTTTCTCGGTTGAAATTCAGTAAGGTTTCCAGGTAGGCTCTGTAATGATAGGTGTTGGTCTATTCAGTCATGAGCACCCCATTCATGCTCAGGTTGATGTCTCGAAAGATGGTGTGGGCAAAGTTGCAGTAGGTGTTTCTGGTATTGTTGGCATCGGAGTTGGCCAAATTGGCTTTGAGGCCTTGATACCCAGCCGCCGGATCGGTCAGACGGACTTTGACTTGAAATCGGAGTTCGTTGAGCTCGTAATAATCGTCCGAGGCCGGGATGGAAAAGGTGATGGGTCGCGTCCCCGTCAGGGCGGGTTAAAACACCACGTCCCGGGAGGCCTCGTACCGGTAATCCACATCGGGCACATCAAACAAATTGAGCGACATGATGCTAGTGTCAGACTGTCGGGAGGACGTGTACATCAGGGGATAGCGCGCCATGGTGGACTTGCCAAAGATCGTCCCACCTATTTGATACGGCGAGATGAACCGACCTCGGGCGCGTTGCCGTCGAATACGATTTTGCGTTTAAGAAATCCTCCAATACGTACCATGGTGTCGTTCACAGTCCAAAGATATCCCGTACGCGTTGAGTGGCTCTTTTATAGGTATTTTCGGCGGTGCGTTTGGCTTGGTTTGTCCCGACGGTCCAGGCCAGGGCGGGGGCTTTGCGTTTCAAACCGCGGGTGAGTTGCGCGCCTCGATTGGACCAGGTGTCGGCCAAACTCTGTCCTCGTTGAATGTCTTGAAGCCCGCTTGAGCTTGCTGCACGATCAGGGGACCGGCTATTTTGATCAAGTCTTCGGCCAAGCCTTTGCCCTCCTGGGTCGTGACCACGGGCGTGTGGTAACGCGTTAAACTCCCTCCTCGCATCTCGGTTCCGTTTTGTGTTCTCGATCCAGGGGTGCATGGTGGTTTTTATAGCTGTTTGCGGCCAATGGTCACAATGGTTTTGCCAGGGGGTAAAATGTTCAGAGGTCCACTGGTATCCACAATCTCCACTTCCACAATCTCCAATTGATTGCCCCGGACTTTGATCCACTGGTGATGCAGGGGTTCCACCGTACTTTCTCCCTCGCCCTTTCTCAATAGCTTCACTTCGCGCAAGAGGGGATACTTGCCACTCCCCACCACGGTGGATTCCACCACATCCGAATAGACCATGACGGTGCGCTTGCTCGTCCCCACCAACTTTTCAAAGGAGGTATCGAGGTTGTTAAACTGCCTTTCCACCATCCTGGACAAATGAAGCCGCTTATTTTTCACTTGATACAGTACATCCATCACCTCCCTGGTCAGATCGGTCGGTTGCGTCCCGGCATAATGCTCTCCATTCCAGCACATGTCCGATAGATTCGATGGATCGGTGGGGTGAGTGGTATTATCATAGGTCACGGGAGGGCAGGTAAATTGGATATTGGGACCCAACACATACCCCACCACGCCCGTGGGTTGTTCGATCAACCCAAATTTTTCAGCTATACCCAGATCAAGGGAAAAGGAGGTCAGGGCTTTGGTCTTGTTGCCGTTCAACAACTCTCCTTAGGCACAGCATACAAAATCAAGGCATCGTCTTTCCAGGTCATGGTGGGCATCAAGTTCTTTTTCACACTAACCAGGAGTCGTTCATCCCTATCAAAGGTCTTGGCATAGTCTTGTTCGTACATGAGTTTGACCATGATGGTGTTGTGCACTTCTTGCATTAGTCGTTTCCAAAACAGGCTGCCTGAGGTCACAGAATGTTTGGCACTCATAATATCTTCCAATTCCACAATGTACTCCTTGGTTTTGAAACTCACTCGTCGATAGTCCCCGTTGATGTATTTTCGCGTCAAATACGCCACGCTGAATTTGACGACTTGGGTATGAGGATCCGAGGCGATGACGCCATTGCTCTTTCCTTGATCCGGGACGGTCAGGGACATCAAAGTGGCATACTAACGACTGCCTGGTAACGAGAAACGTTCGGGCAAACGGACCTTGAAACTGTTGTTGACATTTTTGGGAAACTCTTTGGTCGCATCGCTGATAACCGTTAAGCGTTGAATGTTACTCATGATGATGATGAGGAGGATGCTCGTCGGAGGGTGCGTGCGGTCCTTTTATAGCCACTGGGCCACTTTCTGTTTGCTGCGAGTCGATTGTTTGGGATGAAAACACACTTGCTGGGAAATGTTGGGAAAGGCCCGCGCCAATTCCATCAGGGTCAGGCAGGTCTTTGGTTTCCCGGTTTTCTTCTTTCACATGGGCGGATGACGACTGGCGCGTCGGCGTTGTTTCTTTTGGGCCGCCGCGTAAGAACGGAGGGCTTGTGGACCCAAGGCGATCCCAGCCATCCTGTTGACTTTGGCCCGTCTTTGTTTCGCGGCTTCCTGGTTTGATGAACTTCATGATCCCTTCGTCATCCAACGGGGGTGGCGTGTAACTGGCCCGCGGTCGGCTGGCTTGGATCTGGTCCAATCACGTGCCCCGTTTTTTACGGGGCGTTATTTTTATTCGTACCATGCCTGGGTTGGGCTGGAATCCAACTATCGTACTTGGCCGGCCACCCTTTCCACCGCACGAGCACCTTGCGTCCTTTGCGTTTCAAGACTTTTTCCACTCGAAATAACGAGTCGTCCGACACTTGCACTTTTTGCACATCGGGTTCGTAAAACGTGCCTTTTATAGGCGTGCCGTCCCATTCACTGAGTCGATAGGTGACCACGGGATGACGCCGTACGTGCGTGACCGCAACACTTCTTCCGTCCATCCCGGGAAATAGCCTTTTTTGAAGGGACGATGTTTCTTGTTGAGGCGTACGCGGTCGCCCACTTGACATTTGGGGGGTGGGGTCTTTTGGTCAAAACGCTGGCCGTAGCGTTTGTCCCAGACCTCGGGCACGGTTTTGGACGTGACTTGATGCGGGGCCATCCCAATACTCTGTTGATAGGCGTGATTGTACGTATGGATCAACGGTTGCAACACGTCCACGTACCGTAACGTATTGTGGGCTGTAAAGTAGCGGTACATCCGTTGTTTCAACGTGCTATGCCATCGTTCCACCACGGAGGCCTTGCTATCCCCATACGTCGAAAAATGATGCGACCCCTGTTTCTTGAACCACGCTTGCACCCCTCTATTGTAAAATTCTTTGCCTTGATCCGTCTGCACGCGGAGCGGTCGCCGCGGCGAGGCTTGTTGGTAAATCCGCTCCAACCCTCGTATCATCTCTTGGCTGCTTTTGGATTTGATCGGCACGGCCCATGCATACTTGGACAAGACATCGATCTCGGTCAACAAATATTTGTTCCCCTTATTCCATCGACTGAGTTTTTGCATGTCCTCCAAATCCATCTGCCATTGTTCGTCTCGGTCAAAGACCAGTGTGGGGGTGGTGGGAAACCGCGTCCGTCGGGGTTTGTGGAGCGTATAACTCAACACCGATTGAAGAATCCGTTGCGCTTCAGGGGTTTTACAATTTCTGGGCTTTGGCAAAAGGGTTGAACCCACCCAAGGCCCCGGGTTCATGGGGATCTTCGTAAGCGCGCGGCAACTACATGACCACACTGACACAAGATCATTTCAAGTCTTTCTTTAATGGTTTTTTTTTCACACACCTACATGGTTTTTTTTTTCAAAACAAGACCATGCCACTGTTTCCATACAATTGGCGCCTTCTCTCCATCTCCCTGTCCTGGGCCTTGGTCGATTCTGCCAATTGATTCAACCACTGTTTCTCCCTCACTTTTCGTTGGGCTTCGGCCACTTGATACCCGGACACAAAAGACGGTGCCTTTCCATAGAGCCACTCCCGGGGTAGGGGGCTATCGATGTGCTCGTCTTCCCCACTGAACAGACAGTGTTTTTTCAGGAGAGGGACAGGCACATTCCCATGGGGTGTTTCTTTCACCCATCGTCTCAGGGACGGTTGCGCTTGCTCGCGGGGACGCCATAGCGGACCATGGGGTCATTGGAAATAGCCGCAGGGTTTTTGTCCTGGGAGAAAGCTCCCACAGCTCAAAAACACTTTGTTGTAATTCTTGGAGGTGCGACTCAATTTCATCTTGGGGGTAAACCCGCATTTGCACTTGAGCGACCCTCGTTGCAATCGGGCTTGGACTTGGGGATGGGTCTCTTCTTTCAATTTGTCCAACATCACCACACTGGTGTCTTCAAACAAATACACGGGACATCCTTCTTGGGGGCACTTGTATCTTAACTGGCCAAATTCAGTCTGGGGGTTGAGACAATGAATGAATTGATGGGGATGAAACGGGCACTCTTCATACAAGAGGTCGTTCAGGTTCGCCTCCATCTGGTCCAGGTCTTGTTCTTCCCATTCCCCTCCCTCGGTGGTAGGATCCGAGGGATACGTACCTTCCTCCACACATTCTTCCTCATACTCTTTCAGGGTACAATCCATCAGCTCATTCACGGTTTGGGGTGGTGTTGGTTCTTCCGCTCGGGGCAATGCCTTCAGGGCCACCACGAGTTCACTGGTGGGTGGTTGGGTGGCTTGGGTGTCTAGGTCTTGGGCTTCTTGGTCGCCGTTCTTTTTCTTGGCGCACACTCGACGTCGTTTGCGTCCCGTGGGTACAGCGGCTGGTTGGGTGGCTTGACGCTCCATGACGGATTCTTTGGCTGAATGACTCCAACCTCACCAACCCCGTGACTTATATAACCCATGGACTGTCCATCAACCCCCATCTCGTGATCATGGTGTGATCTTTTTTCCACCAATCCCGGCCCACTCCATGCGTCTCGTGAGGGTGGTGTGATAGGGTTGTCCACCAATCCTGGCCCACTCCATCCCTTATAAAACGGTAGGTTTCCGGACGTGTCGTATCAGTTGGTGTCCTCTCCGTTCCACGGTAAGTGATCATGTCTTTACGTGAAGTGGGTCTCTTGGTGTACAGTCAGGGGTTTGCCATCTCCCGGGAGGAGTATATTGTTCGGGAACTGGCGTTTTGTGATTGGACAGGCCATCATCAAGTGTTGCTCAAATACCTGCTACCTCCTGGACTCACGTACGACCTGTTATCCGAGGTCGCCAAGACCCGCGTGGATCGTCAGACCAAGACAGTACATGGTTTACCTTTTGAACCGTTTGTGTCGCAGTATAACCGACATGAATTTCATCCCTACCATCAGTTAAGGGACGATGTCACCCGCTGGTGTCAACAACATCTCACCCCAGAACGATGGCGGTTGGGTGTCTTCACGCTCAATGGTCTGTATCGCTTGTTCCAAGAGCCACGGTTTTCTAGCCCGATCGTCGTCTTGGAAGGGCAGGGATGCAGGGACTTAGCCAGTCTTCCCATTGCCACCGTCAATGTGATGGCCACCAACGATCATGGCCGTTATTGGTGCATGGATCACAGCCACGGGGAACGCGGTATCTGGCACAATCATTGCGCTCGCGTACGGGCCTGTCAAATGAGTGGCTGGTTGCGTCGACATTCTGATGCGTTACCCACCCTCTCTCAAGTCAACGCCCAACGCGTGCTTTGGCAAAAACGATGCGATCGCCTTTTGGATGTGCTCTTATGCAACCATTGTAAGGATGAGAAAGACGACGCGTTTGCTGCAGGCCAAGGCTTGGATTGGATCCCCGATGCCTGACGTATCTTTGAACAAACGGTCACCTACCAGGAATGGCAGGAACCCCTGATGTATGCACACCATGTGGGCTTGGAATCCTTTGTCTCACCCTAAACACTGTTTTTGATTTTTTCACAGACGATGCCGCTGACCATTTACACGGGAGGTGCTAAAGTCGTGGACACGCATGTGGAACATGTCCTTCACAAGTATGGTCATTCGTGTGTGGTCCTCCTCCCACCCTGTCACCCTCGGGCCAAGTCCCTCGCGCCCTTGACCCAGTCCGACTTGGACGCTGCCACACCCACCGTCACTCAGGTGGCTTTTCGATTGGGTCGACATGTCTCCTATCCCATCACCCTTCAGTATTTACAGCGTAATTATCACGTGATCAAGCCTGCTTCCTTGGTCTTGGCGTTGGGGTATTTTGACGAGCTCCGCAAGCATCTCTTGGGCGGGACGGGATGGAGTGTGGCCATGGCTCAGATATTAGGCAAACCCCTCTATGTGTTTGATTTGGATATGGAACAGTGGTATTGGTGGAATCCCACCCTGCAACAATATCAACCCTGTAAAGGCATGACCGAAGAACAGATCGCCCTATCCACCCTCCAAGACAACACCGCCATTTTAGGCACCCGAGAGGAAGACAAGGCGGTCTATCCGACCTTGGACGCTTTATTCCAACGCTTATGAACAAAAAAAAAACATTAGGACACTGATAGGACATGTAACATGTTTAATAAAATTCTCAAGGTACATTTACAACAGCAATGTGTCCCATGGTTTCCAAGACTTTCATGACTCTATCCAATCGGTTCATCACTTTGTCAATCTTATTGTAGGCGGGTTTCCTTCTCCCAATCATGACGGGGCGCTGACCAATGGGACAATCGGGTATTCTGTTTCGAAACCGGTCAATGGCAAATGCGATGCCCTCGTTCATGAGGTTGTCCAGGTTGACGGGGTGTTGAGCCATTTCCGCCATCATACCAATCTGCATGAATAAAGCTTTCTGAAGCCATTTTAAGCAATTTGGGAGATTGCCGGGGAAAATTTATCTGTTCCTTACTCCCAGCAAGACTGATGGAAGACTTCCCAGCCAGCAAGATACACGTACAACCTGCAACCTGACTTACTAGGAAGTTTCCCAACAGACGTATGTCCAGACAATACTGCCTACGAGTTGGGTGTGGCCTAAAGGCGAAAGGGACCCCTTCAGTGTGTGTGTGTGTGTGTGTGTGTGGGGGGGGAGAAATATTTCTGACAAATAGCACATGGCAGCTATTCTACACATCAAAAACCGTCATAACCCTGAAATGTATGTTTACTTTTTTTTCCAAATCTACCAGTCAGAAAAACTTACCCAAGCATTAAGGTTATTCAAGCGAACAATGGTATAAAAGGCGAAGAAGCATTAAGGTTATCACCCAAGCTTTAGAGAGATTAAGATTCACGTTTACGGCATACGGCAAACGGCAAACGTCCGTTGAGAATTTCTCAGAATAGAAAATAAGCAGATAAAAACAGTCCAGCACGATTTTTGTGGACAAAACTAGCATAAAACTACTTATTTTTGTGTAGAAGCAATAAACAGCAAACGAAAAATAAGGGGGAAACTTGGTCACGTGGTACAAATTCATGTTTGCCGTTTGGCGTAAACGTGAATCTTAATCTCTCTATTAAGGTTATTCAAGCGGAAAACGGTATGAAAGGCGAAGAAGAAGAAGAAGGGGAAGATTGTCTCAGCCTTCAACTCACAAACGCCATGCAAATAGAAGGGTTTTTGTCTAATGTAAACACGCCAAAGGCTTGCAGGCATGACATGGTGCCCCCTCGCCTTACAAAGGAGTCCTCGCATGCCACAGCCGGTCCTGTCGCAAAAAATTCGAACAATTCTATTGCACACAGTCGATATCCATCCCGCTGGAAAATGGTGCAAGTTCCGTCCCTGTTCAAGAGGGATGAGGAATTAGAAAAACGAAACTACAGGCCTGTTACTGTTCAACCCGGCTTGAAAAATATTTTTGAAAGACTGCCCTCAGATCAATTGTAGGATTTTTACCAAGGTCTATCGTCAGACTTCATTTGCGCTTATAGGCGACGTCACAGTTGCGATACCGCGCTTCTCAAGCTTACGGAAGACTGGCGCGCATGCCGTCATAGGAAGGAACTGGCGGCTGTCGTATCTATGGATCTGTCGAAAGTTTTTGATACAATTCCACATCCTCCTCTACT